TCCATTCTTTGCTGAGGGAGGGAATCACAGCACGAACAACCCAACACAGTAGCATCTCTAGTTCGGGCGAGGTCTCGCCATCCTAATGCTGTTACAAAAATACCCGATAGCATGGTGGTGACTGCTATCTCGGCCCGTACTTCGATTGAGGCCGGCGACGGCATCATCCACAAGCTAGGCAACGATGGCCTCATCGGATGCCATCGAGAGGCCATCGATTGACGAGGTGACGGCGATGCAGTGACGATCGTTGCCAACGGGGCCCATACAGGCACGACGGAAGGCCACCGGCTTGGCCATATGAAAACGACGCGGTAGATTGAGTCCCAAGGTGAGCCCCGTGCAACGTCCCGAGAGGCCTAACAGAGACCTCTATCTAATGTCTCTGCAGCGGCTACCATGACCATGCAAAGAGTCGTCAAGCTCAAACTAGATGGTCCGGAGCCTTTCCACAGAAAGGTACCTTCCCCGTCCTTCATTCTCCGAAGCCCTCACGCAATTGTGCATCTTTCATTCGGGTTTGACTCACCCTTCCGGAGATGATTTCCGGTATATTCCGGGCCGGGGCGGAGAAAGAGTGGATACGGAGCACTGGATACCGACTCGGGGGGCCCAGGTACGGCCCCGCATATCCCGGGTCGCACGGCGCGAGGTCGGAACTACTCATTGTATCCGGCCGGATGCGTCACTGAACCCCCCAGCCGACGCTGTGACCAAGATCTAGGGCTGTTCGGCTATGACGAACCAATTGGGTCTAACCAGCGAAGCGTGGAAGCATGCCGTGTTCCCATCCGCCAACGGGTGAGGTAGCGGGTGTGTCTCGGGCTGCAGGATGACAAGGAGAAAGGAGATGGTCGCTTCCAATATTCCAGCCGGAACCCGCGAGATGGATGGCACACCTCATATTTTGCTGGATCCTCGCGCGCAAAGATGCAGGGGCACCCACACCCGCACGCTGCTGTTGACCGCGGGAGCGTGTCGTGCTTGGCCATTCGCCTGCAAAGGGATGTATGGCGGGGAGGCATTCCCGCCCATTTGATCCGTCTCACCAAAGTCACTAGCTCGTAGATATCATCACGCCTCATCATCGTCGTCGGTGAGAACCATGACGAAATCGGTTGCAGGCACGATGTCCAATGACGCAGCGCACCATACCGACGCCCGAGAACAGACAGTCAGGCAGCAGCAGAGGCTTGCGATGAAGACAATGCGCCAGATGAGGCGGAGAAGCATGCCTTCCCAATCTCTCGCGTGCCATTGATCTCATCAGCGCGTAGCTTGCAGAGAGAGAGAGGTGAGGGGGAGGAGGATGCGGAGTCTCAACGTTGAGGACTTCCTTGCAGGTATGGTGAGACATTGTCTGACATGTGAATGTGGGCGGGTATGTGTGGCTGGTGCAGTGGAGACCTCGGAGAAGCCAGAACGCAACCAGGGTAGGCACAGGAGAAGGCCGATACCACGTCAAATTGCCCGATGATTATCGTGGCCGGCGGGACCGGGACGGGCTAGAGCCACTCGATCGCCAGGTTGCAGGTTGGAAGAGACGAGGTCGCGGGTCGCCGCGTGGATGAGTGAGTGGCCAGGCAGGGCTAGGAGAGAGTGGCGAAGTGTTGTGGGTTTCCCCCCTCGCCAGGCCCTACCCGTTAGTTTGCTTGCCTGCTTGGTTCCCGGGGTGTCAACGATGATTCTCATCAGCCATTATACGAAGACAGGTATCGCGGTCCAGCGAGAGCCGCGGCAGCGGAGGGCAAGGGCCGAGAGCGCAAGCTCCTATTCCAACAATAAGAGGGTGGCCCAGATGAAGATGGGCCCCAGGGGTCAGGGGAAAGGAGCGCGATTGACATGAGCATCGTCAAAGGTGAGAGATCAAGTCCAACAGGCACACAGGCTGGCGCATTCGCAGGTCATATTATATCTGGCCGACGGCAAGGCCAATGGGCCAGCCCCGGTGACCGTCAGGCGGCAGCCCAGATCCAAGGGAGGTAATAGCATTGGCGTCGTGGCCCATCCGCAGCAAAGAATCCGAACCAGGGAGGAAACGCTGAGGCCGCCCCCCTCCTTTCCTCTGGATCAAACTGGGCTGAAGTTGTGAAGGCTGGATCCGTGTGGTATTGCATCGCATCGCGTCGCATCAAAGCGCTACGCTACCACAAGGCTCAGCCAAGGGGACAGAACCACCAAGGTTCAGGTGTAGGTGCAGGTACCTTGGCCCTGGCGATACAATGGGCTCGAGGCGGCTCACAGTCGCCTGGATTAGCGCCATACTTGGAGCTCTCGATGGCGCAAGCTCGCCCACCGGCATCACACTATTTGCTGCGCAGGATACCTAGGCAGTGGCAATCGTTGGCTTGGGATCTTCCCATGATAAGGTTTGAGGGATGATGCGTAGCGATAAGCTTGGGGGGCAGGGCATGGGGGCCAATTGGGTTATGGCAAGGTACTCCCTGGCGGTCCTTTCCTACCTAGTGTAATTATAGATGGTCTTTCTCTCATCTCCCCATCATAATTGCATGTCTACGGATACTTACCTAGTATTCTCCCCGAGGCAACAGACCGGGGTGTGGTTCGACAAGGTGGTCGTGTCCAAGGAGCCGGCGGGCTCTGAGCTTGCTTTCCATTCCACATGCGTCGTCCCCCCCCCCACCCCTATCGATCATCCGTCTAGGGCAGGATGCCGATGTACATGTCCTCTGGGACACGGATCAGCGGCGTACCTACCCAGCCAAACTGTCAGATAAGGCATGCATACGTGTTGAGCGGCGACTCGACCAGTCAGCAGAGCTCCCTTGTTGCTGTGTGTTGCTCGGTGCGTTTGCTCGCAAGTCATCACATTGGAACGTGCTTGTACCACCCACCCCTTCCAATGATGACATAATGACGGCCCGGCCAGCATGCAGCCGGGTTTCGGACGTGCTCCTGCGGCCCGGGAGGGGAAGGAGCAGTTGAGTGACAGTGACAGTGACAGTGACAGTGACAGTGACAGTGACAGTGGGGGCAGGGGCAGACAAAGGAGAGAGATAGTGAGAGAGAGGCAGGCTTCAATGATCCGATCTTTGGTAGCAACTGCCCGAGCAGACGAACACGGGGCAGGGAAGGGCCCGTCCCTCGTCTCGATTTCTTTCTTGCGCAGTCTCCCGATCCCGCGCTGACCACATGCCTCTCTACATGCCCCCTACGTACCTGTCGTAGAGGCAGGAGTTGGAGCAGCAGCACATCTTTCTTGCATTCCTCGCCTAGATTCAAAGCCAATGACCTCACAAGAAGGTCGAGCCGAAGACGGGAGATTGCATCTTCTCTTCTCTGGCATTGAGCATTGGGTATCAGACATTGGGTAATTATCGAACAACTGTCACGAGGAACAAGATCATTTGGGAAGCGTGCCCCGTTCGTCGTCACAGGGCGAGGGAGGGGTCCGTCTTTTTTTTTTTTTTTGCCTCGTTCTCTTTCCATCTTCCAGTCTCTTTCTCTCATTGCCTCGCTAATTCAAGCATGGAATTCCACCTCGACAGGTGCGGCGGGGCCATTGTGCCACTTTCACATGTCAACCGGCCAGGATGACGATAGGAACGCATGCAAGCCACGGCTGCTGCCACCTTTTCCACTTTTTTTTTCACTTTCCATCTCTTTTTTTTCCCCCAGGCCCCCAGTTGCTGCAAGCTATGAGCTGCTGATAGTACTGGAGCTGGATGAAGCACCTGCTTCTCGACCTTAGCATATCTACCTATGTAGTCACTCACCTGTCACGACTTGGCCCCTCCGAACGTGTCCCGGTTCGACCAATTGGCTGCCTACACGGTACCAATGCCCACACACGCTTTCTCTTCTCTGCTGACAATAATGGAGCGGCAGGACAGGGGTGGGCATGAGGGGAGGAGCTACCATCAGCTACAAACCAAGTAAGAGGAAAAAAAGGAAAAAAAACCGTCCCCGCATTACTTGTGGCGTGAGCCTCCCCCTTCCTCCTCACAACAACAGTGATGACGAGACAAGAGCTCAATTTGAGAAAGAAAGGTAGAGGAAGAACAGGGGAAGGGAGAGAATAACAAGCGAGGGGAAATTAGGAAGAAAAGAAAAAGACCAGAGGACTGTAAAGGGCAGCAGAAATTATCCATTCAGTGCAGAGGAAGGAAGCAACGAGAGCAGAGTAGCAAGCAGCAGCTCGAGCACAAGCACAAGCACAAACCACAGAACGACGTCCCCTCACCTCCATTGGCATGTGGCGCATGTACCTTGTTGGTAGGGGTACATGGGCCGGACCCGCAACCACGGCATTCCTGCGCGTCCCTGTCCGCGCGCTGCGACTTGCGAATGTCTGAAGCACATGCTAATCTGATCTGGCCTGGCTACTAACGTAGCTAGGCAGTCGAGTCTCGCGTCCTAAGGGGTTCAGGCAATCTGCCTCACTTAGCCCACCTCTCCTTCTTCTGGTAGATAAATACTTTCGTTTCAGTCCATGTCAGTCTGTGGCGTCAACCTCGTCACCATCGTCCGCATCCATTGCATAACAGCTATCCTCCGTGCCAGCCGCCTCTTTCCCTTTGGCCCTCCTTCAGTAAGTCTCCCTTTTAGCTTTGCCATACCTCGCCCTCCCTCCCGATACATCTCCTCCCCCTTCTCCCTCCCACTCACTTACTACCTGCCCGCCCCCTCCAGAAACTTTCTTCCCGTCCTTGCGTCTCTCCAAGCTTTCCGTCAGAAACACCTACCTCCTTTGCTTTCTCAAACCTCACCTCACCCTCCCACCACTCACTCACTCATATACCAACCAGACTTGCCTTGACATCGACCTTTCCTGACAAGATCCCAATCCTACAGTCCAGCTCAGCTCTACTGCTTGCTCTGCATCTCTCATAGCCCTTGCTCCCAAGCCTCCAACCGAAGCTCAAGCACCCACGAGCAGCACTTGCCAGTAAATCCCGTCCGACTTGACTTCGCCGGGCTTCGCGCTTCGACGAATCAACAGCCCCAAGCTTCTCAATCAAACCCTCACCTCTTTCTAAATGCCCAAAATGGCCCAAGTCAACGGCGACCTCCCGAGCGTGAACTCGGTTGCTATCCAGGTAAGCACTTGTGTCCACGGGCGCTTCTCCCCGTCTCCCCCTCACCCTTCACGCGGCTTACGTAGCATTGCAGCATCTCTTGGACTATCCGGCTGTGCATGATAGCGTCGTCACCTTCAGGAACAACCCTGTCGGCAAGAAGTCCCTGGCCTTCAGCGAATCTGCTTACAAGACCTTCGCCGAGCCCTTTCTGCCTCTCTTCGCTCGCCCCTGGAACTACCTCCGCCCGTATGCCGAGAAGGCAGACAACCTCGGCGACCAGGCCCTGTCAGCTGTTGACGAGCGCTTCCCTGTCGTCAAGAAGCCTACCGAGGAGCTCTATGCTGGCGCTAGGGGCATCATCGCCCTTCCCTTCCGCACGGGTTTCGAGGCCAAGGACCACGTCCTCAAGACATACAGCCAAGAGAAGAAGAAGACCGGCAACGACAATGTCGTCGCTCTCGGCAAGGCCGTCGTTAGCACCGTCCTCATCTCTACCAGCGAGCTCATCATGTGGGTTGGCGACGTTATCCACCACAAGAAGGAGGAGACCAAGGAGGTCGCCAACGAGAAGATCAACAACTAAATAGGCTCGCGGCCCCGTACGTGTACAATCAATCTTGGCTGATCTTCCTCTCTCCTGTCCTCCTCCCCCTCACCATATACCCTTCACCCTCTAGCAGCCACTCTTGAACTATCTTTTGGTTCTCGGGCCGCAGTCACGATGGCGGACGCTTCAACGACATACAGCAACGGAATGGACTTGATACCTTGGATAAAGGGTTTTTATGTACTGTTTTCGTGTTGTGTGTAATCTTCTTTGTTTATTCCTATTATCGGTGGTGTACGAGACAAAGTTATCTAGTGCGCCGCTCTAGCCCTCTCTTTCCGGGGCAAATCGAGTTGGGACTTTTGCTGTGGGCGAGACAGGACTCTGTCAAGCTGTTCGATGACGCCCCAAGGCCCACCACCACTTGTGCCGAAGAAGGGAAACATAAGCCCCGGGTCATCGGGCAAGTCCCGCTCCTTCCCAGAGGAACGTGTTTGGCATGGAGCTGGATTCTAGTATTGAACATCTGCGAGAGAGATCAAAATTTAATAGACACTCGTGTTTGATTGCGAAGCTCATCGTTACATGTGACGTAACCATCGTGTGAAACTGACCTATCAAAGGGTTCGGCGTGGGTGCATAGATCATATGGTGCGCTCTGCTTGGCCAGCTGGTACGAGTCACTCATATATCAGAGGAGCCTGGCCGAGGCAGTATCGTACACAGAACTTCCAGCTCGAGGAAGGAAGGACAGAGGCATCGTGGAGCTGGGGGACGGCTTCCTGCCCAGGTGTCCAAACTCAGTCCCTGCGTCTCCTCCCCGCCTTTTTCTTTTCTTCGCGAGGGTGGTTTGGCGCAACTCTATCAGTGTTGTAGATCGGACCAACTTAGCGGGATGAGGATGAGAACGATAAAGACTAAAAGGAAACAATAAACCCGGGGAAAGATCGCCAGTTTCTGATTGGTGACCCTCTGGCGTGCCACCGTTGGTGGTGCACTACGACTGTGTGGAACATCAACCCATTACCACTGGTTGTGTCAGCATGGAGACGCTACGAGAAGCCAGAGCGAGCTGTTTGCGGCCTTCATTTGGCGGGGAGCCTGTTGTTGATGCTGAGGTAATGGGTCCTCTGACCTTGAGTGGCTGTTGGGGGTGTGGCCCACGTCGGCAGTTCCTGCTTTGCGGATGCTGATGTAAAATTGACTAATGGAGCATTGCTGACCAGAAGCGCATGAGCAAGCAAGCGCTCACGACGATTCCATGTCCCACCAGATCGCCCCTTGAGTAGGATTTACAATGTGGGGGTGCGTAACAACGACAGTTGGATTTATAGGTAGTCCATTAGTCAATTGGAACCTCTCGGAGTCCTAGAAACCTCATTCTTCCCCATTCTCTCACTCACTCACTTCACTCGCTGCCGGGACGACTTTCGTACAAATAGTACCCCTGGTCGCCGCCCCTCATCAATGAGATCCCTCTCGCTGCTACTCTCCATCATCGTGGGAATCGCATCCATCGTCTTGTTCAGACAACAGATAGCAGAATTGGTAATCACGACCGCGTACAGCTTCTTCGACTCTGCTAGTGAGATTCAGAGCAACGCCGCTCTCGTAAACAAGCCGCAACAGAATCAAGCAGACAATCATCTGTACGCCACCGACATGTCTGTCCCCCGCGCAATCCGCAAGGTCTTCTTGGCCGTCGAACAGGCCGAGGGCGCTGGGGCTCGCGTCCGCCGCTCCATCGGAACCCCTCAGCTCAGAAACTTTTCGCCCTTTTTGATGCTTGGTGTGTTACCCCTTGGGCTCGTCAATGTCACCAAAGGCCCCCTAGGGATTGCTGACGCGCCCCCACAGACCACTTCCGAATCTCGCCCGGCGCGGGTTTCCCCGATCACCCGCACAGGGGCCAGGAGACCATCACTTACCTCCTGCACGGCGGCGTGGACCACGAGGACTTTGCTGGCAACAAGGGCACCATTGAAGCCGGTGACCTGCAGTTCATGACGGCGGGCCGCGGCATCATGCACGCCGAGATGCCCAAGCAGAACCCGGACGGCAGTGCCAACGTCGGCCTTCAGCTCTGGGTCGACCTGCCCAAGCACCTCAAGTCCTGCGAGCCGCGGTACCGTGACCTGCGTGCCAAGGAGATCCCATCGGTTGACGTCGACGGCGGCAAGGTTCACGTTAAAGTCATCTCAGGCCAGAGCCATGGCGTTGACTCGGTGCGCGATTTGGCATACACACCTGTCTGGATCCTGGACATCCAGATCAAGCCCGGCGGCAAGATCGCGCAGCCGTTGCCCAAGGGATGGAATACATTCGCATACACGCTCGAGGGCCAGGCCATCTTCGGCACGGGGGCGCAGCAGCGGGTTGTGGACGAGTTCCACAACGTTGTGTTTGAAGAAGATGGCGAGATTGTCAATATTGAGGTCGATGCTGGCGCGGAGAAGGACGCCCGTCTCGTGCTTATCGCCGGTACGCCGCTCGACCAAGAGATCGTGCAGTACGGCCCATTCGTCCTGAGCTCCAAAGCTGAGGTGTACCAGGCCCTGATGGACTACCAGACTCACTCGAACGGATTTGAGAGGGCTAAGGGCTGGGAGAGTGAGATTGGAAAGACCATGGTTGAGTGATGTAGCTTTGGTCGGGTTGATTCGGCCATACGCATTTTGTTTTGCACCATGTATTAATTGGCATCAAGCAGCGGATGAGCATTTTCTTTGAGTTAAGATGAGGGCATATAGACCATGTCAATGAGATACCATGAAATCTGCTCACTTGAACTCAAAAGCAATCTTTCAACGTGAAAATTACCATATTAGGACTAATGGAAAGGAAGTCAGTGGCCTTTGTTACCCGGCTGCAAGACCCTGTAGAACTTAGCAGGCGTGCACTGGCTTAACACCTCGCTCCCTGCACCCTCACTGGCCCAATCCAATCCATTCAAACCCCGCCCCAGCTCTCCCTTTCTCGCCCTGCACTTTTCCCATTAAGCATGCAAGCAAGGTACACGAAACCTATGTAGTCGCGGCACGCATTGCGATGACCTTCAAGCCCAACGTCCACTTACCCACGATATAATTGATGACACCGCCACCGCCGCAAAGACACTACACGCTCACTACCACACGTGCAACCGGTTCATTACCAACTGACAGACCGATCGTCCTTACGACTGACGACAACCCCGAATTGAATCTAACGACAGCTGGCCAGCCAGCGAGCCCGCCGCCATGGATGCGCCCGTGCCTAAGCTTACGGAGCTACTCCGCCATCCCGACGACCTCGACAAGATTGCCGGCCTGAAGCAGGAGTTTTCCCGCAAGAAGATGGCAGTCGACTCCCAGCTTCGCAGCGGCCTGCGTGAGCAGCTCGAGACGACCCAGTCGGGCATGACGGGACTGACGGACGGCCAGAAGACGGTCCAGCAGATCAAGGAGGAGATGATCAAGATCGACCGCCTATGCTCCGAGTCGCAGAACATGATCAAGGACTTCAACAGCATCAATATCGTCTCGCAGGCGCACCGCAATTTTGGGGCCGTCGAGGCCATGCGAAAGAACCTCGAGACCTTCAACGAGCGCCTGGCCATTGTCGAGCGGATGCTGGCCGAGGACGAGGAGGACAAGGAGAACATGCCCAACCTGCTGCCGATACACTACGAGTTGACGCAGCTGAGGAACATCCGGGACGACGCCATGGAGCAGATCCAGAGGGCTGAGGACCCCAGCCTCGAGTCGACACTCGAGGACTATTTCCAGAGACTGGACACCATGATCGACTGGTTCGACGAGCACATTGGCATCCTGGCGCTGAACCTGATCAACCTGGTGGTTAACGACAACAACGGCCTGGTGGTGCGCTTCGCCGTCGTCATCGAGGCCGAGGAGAAGAGCGACCAGAGGGTGCTGGCGCTACAGGAGGCACTCAAGGACCACAAGGAGATGGCGACGCGGTTTCAGAGCATCACGGACGGCGCGAAGAAGGTGCGAGGGTACAAGGATAAGTTCACCCAGGCCATCAAGATCAGCGTCGAGGGTCAGTTCGCCGAGGCCAGGGGGGAATTCCTCGACGACCCGTCGGCGTTGGACAAGATTCTGAAGTGGTATTTCAACGACTTGAACGCCGTCAAGATGGGCATGACCCCCCTGATGCCCAAGAAATGGAAGATTCTCAAGACGTACGGTGACATCTACCACCAGACGATGCATGACTTCCTCATCGGCATGATCGACGACCCCGACTCGGCCTCTGCCAACACGTTGGAGATCATTAACTGGCCGGAAAGGTATTACAAGAAGATGAAGAAGCTGGGCTTCAAGCAGGAGGACCTCACGCCTCACGTCATCGACTCGCGGGAGACGGAGCTGGTCCGCGACTTCCGGCAGCTCATCATTAAGTTCCTCGACGAATGGATCGAGCGTATTTTCAACGCCGAGCAAAAGGACTTTGCGGAGCGCAACGTCGAGGGCTCCAACCTGGATCAGGACGAGTACGGGTACTTCCGGTCCAGAAACCTCGTCGACATGTGGCGGATGATGCGCGAACAGATCGACGCCGCCGCCAACTCAAAGCGCATCGATGTGATTGAGGGCGTCATCGACGCCATGTTCCTGAGGTTGCGTGGCAGGCAACAGTCGTGGCAGAGGATGCTAGACGAGGAGGCCGCCAAGTTTGAGTCCGGCAAGGTCCCGGAGCTCGAGGGGTTCCAGCCGCTGCAGGATTGGCTCGTTGCCACGGCCAACGACCAAATCGCCTGCGTCGACGACAACGAGGACGAGAACAGATTCGGGTACCTGTCCAACTTCAAGCAAAAGTTCGAGCCGCTCGTCTCGCCAGCGTACATGGAGCGTGCCGAGGGCGAAGTGGAGCTGCTGCGCGACGCCTACATCGACTTCAGTACGTGGTGCATCACCAAGTTTGTGCAGCTCATCTTCTCGGTCGACTTCAAGGCAGTCATGCCCGAGTTCTTCACGCCCAAGTGGTACACGAGCACAGCCATGAAGCAGATGGTGGTGACGTTTGAGGAGTACGTCGGCGACTACCGCCAGGTCCTTCACCACTCACTCGTTGACATCTTCACTGAGATCTTCGCCGACGAGCTGCTCATCCGCTACCTCTCGTCTGTGCGCAACAAGGGCGCAAAGTTCCGCCGTGCCGATCCCATCCAGGACAAGCTCTTCAACGACATCTCAACGGCGTTCGAGTACTTTGGCGCCCTGCCGAACCCGGACGTTGGCAACGCGGTCAAGCAGACGTGGCGCGTCACCGAATACTTTTTGCAGCTGCTCACCGTCGACAAGGACGCCATCCCTGACACGTTCGAGGGCTTCAAGATGGCGTACTGGGACCTGCAGATCAGCTGGGTCGAGGCGGTGCTGCGGTCGCGCGACGACTTTGAGAGGAGTATGCTCAACGCCGTCAAGGCACGAGCCGCGTCACTCGACGTCGTCCGGGGACCCGAGACCATCATGGGCAAGGTCAAGTGATTGGGCTGAGGGCGCCAAGAGTCAAGCAAGGGAGTATTCTTTCACTTAGTCGCCAGCATTCATAGAGCTTGCGTCGGGGAAATATGAGCCGCCGAGCGTAAGATAAATAGAGGGGAGGAGAGAAAGGGGGGCTCTCCGCGCGTTGGATACCTGAAATGACCTCACGAGAGCAGGTATCAAGGTTTTCTTTTTAAAGGGGGTTGATGTATAGGCGTGGTCCAGATACCCAATTCACAAGAAGGGACCGCGGTGTCGAGACGTAGGGGAAAGGATGGGTAATCCCCCCTTCTGGATGCAAGAAGAGAGACTGAGCCGCGATGGTGCAGAGCTAGGAAGGGCAAGTGAACCGAAGATAGCGGCTGATCTAGGACACGCACACGCGCGCTCTACATGGGAGCAGCAATGAGGAAGATGAATTTTGTTGGGCTAGATAATACCTCGCCTCGTCTTAGAGTAGAGCTTTGGGGGGGGGGCATAGTAACGCACTCGGGAATCCAGACCCTCAGCATCAACAATCAAGATGGTCGACGTTACAAGCTCAGATGTCACAGTGGAAGTTGGGCGGCAGCCATCACAGATTTGCAATACTTTTTACTCGTTTTTTTTGTCTTTGCTTTTTTGACTGCCATTTTTATTCCGCCCTCTTGTTCGATCCGGTCCCTTGGCCGCCGCACCTATCTTCCCTTCCCCTCGTAAAAGGGGCGAAGACTCGGGTGACTGATCGGCCAGGGACGTTCCCCCGTCTATGAACAAAAATAGCACGCGAAAACCAGGTTTTACTTTGGCTGTAATTTCCTTTTGTCATTGCCATTCTCGAAAACCCAATCCGTTGCGTTTGCCCTTCCCATACCGTTCATTCACAGTCATCAACCCCCAAGGCCTTTTGATATGTCCGAGGGAGCGGTGTCGGAAAAGGGGTGGGGTTGACGGGTAACCAAATAGTCCAACATGCCGAGAGAGAAAACCCAAATGGTGGCGGTTTCCCAAGAAAGAGAGAAGCAAAAAGAAGAACAGAAGAAAAAGCCGTTACAGTCTCTTGCGTCCAGGTCTCGCTGACTAGGAAACTGGCTGGTAATGGCACTGCTCTCTGTCGATGGAGAGGACTTTGACTGTTGGTGGCGCTGATCTCGTGTTGCGAGAGAAATCATGCCGGTAAAAACAAACGGAAGCAAAAGCAGATTTCGCAAATTCGTTCGAACCCCATGCTATCGTGAATTGGTCATGATACATATCGTTAATGGGTTCCAGCCAGAGTGTCCGCTTCCTCGTTATACAAAGAGAGAAGTGGCGAAGTGGGCAAACCGAAGAATCAAAAAGCAAGATTACTGTTAAAAAACAGCTCGATGCCAACCCACAAATTACTTCATGCAGATGACGTGGGCGCTGGTGATGGAAGCCACCGAGATCGAAGAACCGGTATCGTTGCGGACGGTAATGACAGGGGTGACGACTAGCTGCACACGCCAGTGCTCGGCCTGCAGAAGGTGAGGGCCAATGTTGGGCGCGATGCCGACCATGGTCTGGGTATTGAAGCGTGCGCCGGTGTCCGGGAAACGGAATTCAAAGGTCCAGCGCGAGGTGAGCATCTTGGCCGAGATTGACCAGGCCTTCTCGCACATCCGGCGGAGGTCCTCGTCGGCCTTTTCCAGGTTGGGGCCGCCAGAGGACTCGAGGATGAGGAGAGGCGAGAGCAACTCGCGGAGCTCGGCCTGGAAGTATTCAATGCGGTGGTCGCGGTAGGCGTCGTAGCGCTCGTGGTTGATGCACGAGTTGACAATGGCGGCGACGCGGTCGATGCAGACTTGAAGCGCACCACCTTGGCCGGCTGCTCGAGTCAAGCGAGTTAGCGATGATTCTAGGAGATGAGGTAATATGTAGAGGCAAACTTACCGGGGAGATTGTTCATCTCGTGGCGAATCTCGCGGAGTTGGCGATCAGCATCAACCGAGAAGCCCTCCCAGGCCTCGAGAGCGAAGATGCGGTTGACCAACAGGTCGATTATGGCGCGGGAGATCAGACAGGCGCGGCTCATGGGGTCGTTCATGTGCTGGCGGATGTAAGACCAGGCCTGCTGCTCGCTGAAGGGGGCGTATAACTTCGTCATGTAGCGCAGAAGGGGAACCTCGTTGAGGCGCGACATGATGGAGAGGTCAACCTCCGAGGCGAACTGGAGCACCTAGCCCCGAGCAAGACCCCAGACTCCCTCAAAAGCCCGAGCATAGCGCTCATTTTCGCCACCCTCGTCTTCGTTGAAGCCATGATCGGGGGCGAAGGGGCTGGTGACAGCGCGACTGGGGCCGTTGCCGCCCTGGCCGAAACGACCGGGACTGAAGCCCCCCTGCTGAGGGTAGTTGGCCGTATGGTAGCTGTGGCCAGACGAGCTGGGAGCGCGAGTACGGTTGTTTTGCTGGGCCATGACGTATTCGTTCTTATTGTAGCCCATATGATTGGGGCCTGTATTGTAACGAGGGTCCTGGGGTGGTGGTATCATCATTTGAGGAGGGCCACGATAGCGGCTGCAGTAAGGACCATCAAAGTTACCGAATGTACTGCGGGTAGCAGAACGAGGAGTCGGACTGGTGTAAGGACCGCTGCCGCCGTTGAAGTCACGGCGAGAACCAGCGGTGGATCCAGTGCCGTAACCAAGGTTGTACGAGGAATCCACACTGTCGAAGCTATGATCCATGCCGCCATTCATGCCAGGATGAAACTCGGGAGCGTTGGGACGGAACGAGGTATGCTGGCTAGCGCCGCCGCGGTTGCCCATGGAAGTACCGGGGCGAGACGGGATCATGTCAAACCGGCTACCAAAACCGCCAGGTGCTTCAAAGCCATTGAACTGGTCGTATCCACCAGTGAAACCATTGCGAGTATCCCCGGATCGCGAGTAGGAACCCGGAGGGGGTATGTTGTGCTGAGTACGGGGACCGCTAGATGCGCGAGTCCAGCCAGCAGATGACATAGTGCGGTTGTCAGCAGGACGGCGAGCGTTGCCGAACATTCCCGGGTAGGAAGACGGCGGACCATTCTGAGCAGGCACATGAACCAGAGCGGAGTGCTTCTCCGCGTTCTGCTGGTAGTTGAATGGCTGCAAAGCGTTGTTCGCCAAGGGTATGACCTCGCGAGACTCAGACATCTGAGAAGCATGAGCATCGTGGGGTTGCTGGTGAGCCTGCCCCGGCTGAGTCTGCTTCTCAAGAGCAGCAATGCTGGCCGAGCTAAGGGCAGTGATGGCTTTGGATGAGTCGTCATTGCGCTCACCGTGCATCCAGCGGGAGCTGGGGCGGTTCATGAAGTCTTTCAGAATCTGCAACGTGATAGTCAGCGCAGCCCATTGTTCAAGAGGTCTACGAAAACCAACCTGGAGCAGCTCGGAAATGGTTTGGTTATGGGCCTCCTCATCGTTACCATTTCGAGGGTCGAGACGGGCCAGAAACTCGAGCACGGTGTTTTTGTGGTTCTCTTGCTCGACGTGGTAACGAGCAAGACGATCTTCCAGATCTTCATACTTGCGATGATACTCGGCGATATCTCGCTTAAGCTGCTCACGCTCCTCCGTGATAATGCTGGCCTCCAGCTTGCTGGAACAGAGTACCTTGTCGTTGTACTCGAGGTCGATTTTGATATCAGCGACCTCGTTTACCGCCTGACGAAGAACGTTGTTGACCTGCTGGGCGTATTTCTGGAGGCCTTCACAAAGATCGTTGGCGATCTTGCTGGGAATACCAGGAGTCCGACGGATCGCCTGTTGGGTAGTCATGATACCAGCCTGGACCTGGCGAGCAGGGACCCACGCAGGCTTCCATCCTGAAGTTAGTACATGGGTTGGATGGAAAGTGCATTAAAAATGAAAATGAAGAATAAAATAAAAAGGGGCTTGGTAAGCAGGTGAGGCTCAACAGCAGAGAAGAGAACCAAAAGGGAAAAAAGAAAAGAAAAAACATTTGATCATAAATCAAGGGTACAGGGAGCATGGTAGAGCGAAGTGAGTGTGACTTACGTGGTTTCGGGCAAGCTCAGAACGCCGGCTTTCTCGAAGAGGCCCAACCAAAGGACCGTCAATTTGGCAGTGGGTAGCCATCTCTGCGGTGATCTTCTTCGTCTGGCCACGCTCGGTTGTATGAGTGGCCTTGTTTTTTTCTTCCGAAATGGTAGCGAGACCTGAGCCAGACTGGTTGCGTCGAATGTTGTTGTTCAACGAGCCGGGAGTGTTTTGACCCGAAATCTTGCCGTCGGGGGTAATGGGTCCGAACTCGCGGTAGGGAGTTAGAGAAGAAAACGGACCAGATCGATAGCCAGAAGCAGTGGGCTCGATGACAGAACGGCCAACAGGAGTCGCAAAGACAGTTCCTTCAGAACGGACAGACGCCTTTCCAGCGGAGAAATTGCCGGGAGTCTGAACGTTCGAGACGTGCTTAGAACCTTCCCGACCGTCGTTGAAAGTGAACTTTGCCTGCTGGAACTTGGGAGGCTGAGGTAGCTGGTAGTCTCCGGGGTGAAGCTGCGACATCTGGTTAGAAAGATCGGCGGTGAAGACGTCAGACGACGACTTGGAGTCGCGGGCAGTGCCATCCGTTGAAGACGGTGTCGATTCGAACGACTGGCGAGTAGCAGGGAACAGGGGAGAATGCTCCGCGAGACAGACGCCTCCACGATGGCCTTCTCCAGAGCCGGAGCTCGCGTTGCCTGAGTGGGCCATTGTAGCCACTCGGGTCTTGTCAAATCTTGGGGTAAACGATGCTTGTAGGGGATGATGAGGTTTTGATACTTTCGATGGAAATAGAAATGTCGAGAAAACAATTCCGAGATGACAACGAGAATGAGAAGGGGAAGGGGGAAAGACTGGAATGTAGGCTCCTAGTGATGGCTGGTGTGAGAAGAAACTGGGAGGAGTGAAAGAGTTGTTGATAGTTAGGAGAAGGTAGATTGTTGTCTGCGCAGGAGGCAGGAGCAAACCGCGCTAACCTTTTAAGGAGAGGCACCCAGATGATTTTTGAGGATGAATACACAATATGATGGGGTGGTGGTGCAGGTAAGCTGTGCATTTCCTAAGCTCATCCAGGTGAGCCAAGGTGAGCCAAGGTGAGCCAAGGTGAGCCAAGGTGAGCCAAGGTGAGCCAAGGTGAGCCAAGGTGAACACCCAGGACCAATGAACCTCACAGCACCCTATCCTGTCACTCTGGTTACACCCTCAAATCAATTGCAAGCAGATATGTTGACAAGAATAAAGAAGACGAACAATGGAAACCATCATGTTTGATCAGTGTTGACCCATCCCCCAGACACTTGCTATGACATGAATACCAGTAGGAGGAGGGAGTGACCAGCATGTTTGTCATTGACATTGCCTAGTAGGAAATGTTGACGATTGCCAGGCATAGAATGAGAGACGGGAGGAGGAAAGCAGACGCGAGATATATGCAGAGAGTTGCCACATACCGACACCAATGACCAAAGCTACCAACGTAACTTGATAAATGGCCAGAGCAGGCGTTTGTTCTGCCCTGGAACGATGTAGTCCACTGTTTGAAGCAAATTGCTACGGCGGAAGCCAAGTACTCTGCCGATGGAGCCAACTGAACCCGGTGCTATCTGTTCCCTCGTCAACTGAAGTTCGATGGCGTTCAGCGCTTGATGTGACTTGCCTATCAAGGACTCGGCCGAGAACAAGAAGCTCCTCAATTCTTGATCAATGTTGCCAGACTCTCGTGTCAAGAGTAAATACCACCCCCCAAGCAAAAGCGCAAAAGTTCGACTAGCCGTTCTTCTTGTATATCGTCAAAAAGCACGCGATACCGTGTATGATCTATATTAGAGCACGAGAACGAGTGTCAGCGATTTCTTTTGAGACGGTGGAGAGCGAGCGAGGTGTTGGCAAGGTGGCGGAGTGGGGGAGAATGTGGGAGAAGAGAACGTGGTCTTACATTGATGTCGATCTACGGCTTTCTTTCGAAGCAATATGCAGCCGTAACCCTAAGAAACGGTTCCAAGTAGTAGACTGTGGGAGCTTGATGTGGAATTTCGAGAGGTTCTGAAGAACCGAGATCCAAATAGAGGACTAAAAGATGTTGGAAAGCCCAAGGATGGGGTTTTTGGAGTGGTTAGGAGGATGTAGGGTAAATGGCGAGACTGAGTGAGGAGAAGAGGTGGGAATGAAGCAGATGGGTATGGAGAGAGTTTGTGGTGAATAGAAAAAGGAGGAAGAACAATAAGATTGTGAAATGTGGAAAGAGAGGAGTTTTATCTTGTCTTCCACTTGAGAGGGTGGAACCTCGCGAGAGCCATGAAGAGTTTCTGTTCGTGAATAGTCTATCGACCCAAGGGGGCGAGAAAAGACAATGGTAGTTCTCGCCCAAACTGATCAAGGTAGGCCTTGGTGGCGTTGTAATCGTGATGCTGGCCAGGGCGCTCTTTACAATACTGTGGAGGACTGGTTATCGACTCGCATTTCCTCTTGGCTCAATATCAAGTCGGGAGCTCATGAACCAGGGCCTTTGAGTAATATGGAAAGAGCTCATAAGTAGGAAAAATACGATATATTGGGTCAATGGTGTGTATATCATATGCCCTGTGCCTAGAGGGAAACCAGGTTCTGACAGTAACCACAGTCACACATGATGGAAAAGAAATAACGGCTTACTACTAGGGCGAAAGGAGTGGTGAGGAGTTTAGGGAAGGAAAGTCTGAACAAAGAAAGGCAAGAAAGAAAGGGCAGCAGGAAAAGAATTCCTTATGGAGGGCATCACGAATCACTGAGAGCTGTTTGATCCCGATTTCGGAAGCAATAGACGTTGTGACCAAGACGCACACCAGGGCTTGCATGCCTCGGTCGAGACAACCAAAGCTGCTCTTGTGCTCCATCGCCATTAGGGTGAGACATGAATGAATTAAAGGGTTTCCAAACAATGGGCTGCGTTGAGGTAGCACTTAGGTAAGGGGAGCTGGCATGCCCAAGGTGCTTCTATAACTTCATGTTTGAATAGTAAGATGACCTTGGGGCTATTTTACACAAAGAGACTTGTCTCTAGCTAGGCAACTGAGCGCAGATAGCAGTAATTCGGATAAGAGAAGAACTCATGTGCGTTGTGGGTTTCAGACTAGAGGTGCTTGCTCCCTACAAGAATCCAAAAGGGCCCATATTCTAGACCATAGTGAAGAGGGAGGAGGTGATAGCAACTTTGAATCAACAGTTGGGATGGAGAGGTTAGACTTTCCAAGCCTGAGCATGGCAGCAGGAACACACTGGTGCCGGAAACCGAGACGGCCTTCATCTGGCCAACCAAGTCAGTACAAACGATGGCGCACTTATGGTTATGAGCCAAAATGTGCCAAGGGAGCAAAATGGATACATCATAGTGAGAGAAAATACAGCGAAACCAGGCAGGCCGGTAAGCATGTCAAGTCCAGCCGGGGTACAGCAATTATACTAAAAACAGATTTAGTACCTAAGTAGGCTTCGTAGCTATAGCTTCCTTGTTCCTTACCCAGACGCCGTTCTTGGCAACATGCCATACAGGCTCCGCATGTAAAAGGAGCGCATTTTTAACGAAACAACCTAAGGTACAAATATCAGCCAAAAAAAATGGTTGGCGATCGAAGGTGCAATCAAGTATGCTTTCTGCAGAGAATCAGTGCGGAGTCAATCTGCTCTCCAATGTTGCTGGGTTAAACCTTTTGTTCCGAGGCGACAAAGACTTGGCTGGACACAACTGACGACTAGAGAATAGGGGACAAAAAGTCGTTGTTCCGCGATCTCCGTTTTTTTTCTTCGGGTGAATGGATATGAAGGACATTGACTCGCTACTGATGTCAGAGAAGACGGTGTTTGATGGATAAGATTTAACCTACTATGTGGATCCTAGACGATGCTTTGCGAGGCCATATATTAGCTTTCAGATCGCTCTTGTGCGAGAGAACAAACTGCTGTAGACGGCATCTACAACAGGTGACGCGTCGATCATCCTGCCTCCGAAGTATCGGCCGTTAAGACCTCTGATAGCATTCTCGCCACCTTGGACCTTGTCGAACTTCAGGTAAATGTCACCCTTAGAGTTCGGGTCGACGGAGATGTGGACTACGCGGCCGTATTTGGTTTCTGCCTCCTGTCGGACGTCATCCTCCAACTCCTTGACCCAATCGTCGCCCTCTTCCCTATATTGAGATTAGTATGCGAAGGTGATGAATGTCTCAGTATATGATCGACTTACTCTTCGGGATCAAACATGTTGTGCAAGACGACGCATCGGCTGGCCATGTTGACGTTGACAGGCAGAGGCTTGGTCTCGGTCTTGGGCTTCAGCAACTGTCGCTCATCTACTCCGTTGGAAGCATCGTCAGTCCTGGCAAGCTTTCTCATCAGGGCATCACGGCTGTAGTTGTTAAAATTGACGCCGGCGACGTCAGTGTCGTCGAGGGCGCTAGCGCCGCCAGACTTCTCGCTGTCTCTGCCACCCGCACGATCGAACGCCGATGTCTGAGGGCCGCGACCGCCCGCGCCAGAGAATGCAGAGCCCTGATACTGCGGGTTTTGGCCAGGAAATCTCTGCAATATGTTGGCAGTGCTCTCAGGGGTAAACTTATCGTTTCCGAGGCCAACGCGAATCGGACGACCAGCAAGATCGAATCCGTTCATCTTCTCAAGGGCCTCTCTGGCTTGGCTGGCTTCGCGGTATCTGGGGCTGGTCAGCATGCCTGTCCAAAACCGGAGGTGGGAAGGAAACATACTGTACGAAGCCATAGCCTCGGCTGCGTCCGTTATCGTCCTTCTGGAGCTGAACGAACTCAAGCTCGCCGAAGGGTTCAAAGACGGCCTGTAAGTCCTGCTCGGTGACGTTGAAGTGAATGTTGCCCACATAAAGTCGGTGGAAGGGGATGGAGTTTGGGTGAGCGGCTGTGGTTTCGGTGGTGCGAACCTGACGGTTCTTCTCGGCCTCCGTCATCTGAACAATGATAGGGATACCTAGCAATTTCTGTCCAGTAAGTTGAAGAGCTTGGGTGACAGAGTCCTCGTTCTTAAATTCAACGTAACCGACTCTGTGGAGCATGGTTAGCACTATATCATATAACGGCCTGGATTCAAACACACATACCCCTTGGATCTCTGGCTGATACGGTCCTTGACAATCTGGGCCTCGGTGACAGGGCCGACCTTTTCAAAAAACGCCTTCAGGTCGCGTGTGCGAAGACGGGCGGCGAGCTGCTGGACAAAAACAGTGCGGCGATCCCGTTCATCTTCAGTAAGTTGTGGTGTAGCCTCACGCTTAGAAGAGGCCTCTGGACGATCATCATCCTTTGCCCGGCGATGGTCCCCAGAGTAGCGATCGGATCGTTCGCGGCGTTCGCGGTAATCATCGCGGGATGAGCGGTAAGAGCGGTGGGGCGAGCGAGAGCGGGAGCGGGCTCGTCCGCCTCTGTAGTAATCACCATCTCCTCTGTGACGACGTGAGTGACGGCGGTCATCATCGCGGCTTCTGCTTCTCCGCCTACTCTTGTGGCTGCCCGCGTCGCTTCGAGGGGTAGATGCCTTGATGTCGTCCGGAGTCCCGCGACGGCTTCGTGTCGTGCTCCGGTCGCGGCGGTCGCGGTCTCGGCGACGACGGTCATAGTCCCGATCGCGGCTTCCATCGCGGGCGCGATCGCGCTCCCTGCGCTCAGGACGGTCGCCGTTGGGACGTTCGTCAACATCGTGTGTCTTGTTCTCGGTTGAGCTTTTCGCGGTGGCGTCAAGCAACGCCTCTACGTCGAGGCCCGACATCTTATTCTTTGCGACAACTTGGTGAGCAGTAGCAAATTTGATTGGTGTTTCTGCGCTTTTGCGCACTGCTGTCTACCTGGGAAGCAGAATTTGCTGTGGCGTTGGTGGAGGGAAAGCGTGTGCGTGAGATGGGGAGAGGCTGGCGTGGTCTCAGAAATGACCAATGCAGCAGCAGACGGGCGATTTCTTGGCTGAGAGGCCCGCAAGTAGGGACCGTAGCCAAGCATGTTTGGAATGTGACCGCGGAAAGAGGGTGTCTTACCTAATACGAAACAAGGGGAGCTGACTCAGAAGGACAAGTTCTAGGCACGCCGCGGTTGCACTGCACTTTCCCACGTTTAAACCTCCGATGCCTACCTACTTGGCTGGAACTTACTCAACGTACCATTACCTAATGCGGACCCTACGGAGTAGAAGTTCAACATTAGAACATATATTCACGTGACCAAAGATTTACGATCCCAAGGGCAGGGGCGAAGGATGCAGCATTACAACATGCCAAAACTGACTTCCAACTGAAGGCCCGACCAGACCCCCTCTACGACTGCCCGTGAACAGCGCCTTCAGATGTGCCCATGGCGTTAACGAATATACTCTATTCGTTCCCTAGCGATCCGCAAGAGTTGAGGTCAAGCTATGATCCTCTCGCCCACACCAAACTCGTCACCTGCAACGGTCACGGGCAAGGGGAATGAACGTGCAGTCTATTTGCTTTATGGCATAATCTCGATGTGTGTGGTATCATTCAAAATACTCTGTACTAAAACAGCCTGCCATGAGACCATGGCGGCTCTTCCCAGCCGCATCGCAGTCGGCTGGGGCGCTGTAACGTAAAGCTCATCTTGAGCTATTTCCTAAGACCGCCCTTGAAACGAACACATTACAGCGTTAAAGTAATCCTAAAAACGTATATACAAGGGGGCAAAGTGATCATGAGGAGCAGATACTGCTCCGTCAGGCATTAGAAATAGGCCCCGAAATTCGTCGTCATGACAAGACGTATGTAATAGTAGCGTGGTGGTGGTAGAGTGGTTTTGGTAGGTTGGGGTTAGTTAGCCTTCACAATGGGAGGCAACTCCGTGCCAAAGACACTGTCCCAGAACCGGCTGGTGACGCCGAAACCGAGTTCGTAATCGAGAAAGTGGTGCTGAAGGTGGTACTTCTTGAGCTCCTTGTACCAAAGAGGTAGGTTCTGGTGGTGGAGGAAGTAATGGGTCAGGTCGTAGCATACGTAACCGAAGATGCCTCCACAAAAGACAGCCGTGGCGACGTGCCAGCTGTACGAGAACACACAGTGTGCAAGCTTGTAGAATGGCGTAGCAAGGACAACGAACAGCGTCGGGGGCATGACCAGGCGATACTTGTCCATGGGTAGGTAGTGGTGAATACCGTGGAGGAGGAAGTGGGCGGTGATGCCGACTCGGTTGTCCGGAAGCCACCTAAAGGTATTGTTAGCATTGCAACTCTTCTTCCAACCGACCACAGAAAGCGCCGAGAATGACTTACTGGTCAAGATGGAACAGGAAGCGGTGCAAGATGTACTCGATCAGAGTCCAAAGGAAAAGTCCGAGGCCAAAGTAAAGCGATTCTTCCATGGTGCTTTTCATGCCTTCCCTAGCAAGGTAAAGACTGTATGCCACGGGAGGAAGCCACGCCAGTGGAACAACCCACCAGGGCGTCTTGGACAGAGGCTCCAGGAAATTGCCAAACAAGGGCGCAGACTCGCCACCCTTGTAGTGCCTGGGTCGGTGAACTTGATCGAGATAGAACTCCTTGCTGAAGCCGCCGTACCAGATCTGGGGGAAGAGAGGGCGACTCAAGTCGAGGAACTTGTGCTTCTTGTAGTCGTTGGTGTAATCCGTCTCCTTACTCAGGTCCTCTTCGCTGGCCATGCCGGTTCGGGGGTGAACCCACCGCTCGCCGTCCCAGAGCTCGCCGCGTTCGTTCATTTTAACTCCCTCGTTTTCGGATTTGGTCACGCCGTTGTCGGTGTCGTTGTCGTTGCCGTTGCCGTTGCCGTTGGCATGCCCGTTCACTTTACCGTTCACTGTTCCGTTGGTCTTGCTCACTGATCCATTGACCGTCTTCTGGTTGATCACGAATCCGACCAACGAGTCGTCGAGAACTTCGTAAGCTGCCTCGGAGTGGGGATGAGAGGTGGGATCGCGCAGGATCGCCTCGACGTCCTTGCCGGCATATTCAAAGACCAAGTCGGCGCCGCCAGGGTGATCATGGGCGAAATCAGTCACATCGTAGACGTTTGCGCCAATGGTGACATAGCAAGACTTCTTGTTGTTATGGGCCTCGACCTCGGCACGAGTGAAGGTGGGCAGAGTTCGCGACGGCATGGTGCCAAGTATTCGGCGAGTTCTCCGCTGATAGAGATGGTCGAAAGGGGAAACGAGTAGGACAGGCCGTATCGATGCGTAGTCGCTTTGAGTGTTTGGTGATCAAGTCCCAAGTGGGCAAGATGCGAAGGTTGAATAGCAAACAACAAAGGGAGTGGACGGGTAGTGTCGCAGCAGAAATCGCAGTGGCAGTTGCAGTTGCAGGCTCTATCGATAGAAACAGAGACAGCGGTCGATACGCGGAGGGGCACGGAGAAAGAAGTATTAAGATATGGTAAAGAAGGCAAAAGCAGGCGATCTACCCATGAGAGAGGGAAAAGGAGCCAAGAGCCGGGAGGGCCGGAAGAGAAAATGAGAAGAGGCCGGGGCGATGTGACTGAGGCTCAGTGGGACGGTGAAGGGTGGTGAGAGAATCGAGGAATTAATGGGGGGGGGGGGCTTGATTTGGGGATGGGGCTGGAGGATATCGGTAGGAGGCCAAGGGGGAAGCTCTCCTGTCATAGGCCGTACCTATACGCGACGAGATAGTCTAATCTCAAGGACAAAAAAATTACAGCACGGTGGCGTTACTTTGGCACATTATGGGACCTGGCGGAAGCTTGGACAGCCCATGTGTGGTTCCACTAGCCGACCACCCTCACCCGGTTTTTTTCTTCCCTCCTCCAGGGTTTACACTGTGAACACTGTGTGCTTTTTTGCAGGATGGCTATCCGTACAAACCCCGAGATTGCTTCTGCCTCAGCTCAGTGCAGTACTGTAGAACACTTCCTAGAACGGGCTATGAGCGACGGGATGGGCGCGAGACGGGGGTCATGGTGGGAGGGAGGTGTGGGAACCTCTTGAACGCAGACTGTGGGAGATGCGCTGCTGCTACATTACTACCTATTGCCTATTCGCAGGCATAGGCAGAGTTGGACACATCCACAAGGCGAAAATAACAAAGCTGCATGGCAGTTTGAGACGGAAGGGAAATGGGAGGCAGGGATAGAGACGCTACATGGATGCCCACCACCCGGTGGAAAGTCCGCAACAATCACCGAGCCAAAGCATCCCAGACCCAAGAGAATTACTGTGTACAGATATGTCAGGCAAATTCAAACGAGGCCGGCTGGCGACCCAGTTGGATCGTCTCCCGGCTGCGAGGTCTGTGCAGAGGGGTCCCTGGTCCCCATCGCTGGTGGGGTGATGAATACATTTTAGTGAGTTGGCTGTTTCTATCGCGTTGATAGACAACAGCGAACACTTATTGTTTCTCACCATCTATGTAACCGACTTCCCGTGGTCCGGAAACGAGGGGCTTGTCTTGGAACACTTTGGATAAGGTGGCGAGAGGGTGCTAGGCCATTCCCCATCTTAGTACTTTCTGGCAAATGGCTCGTGAACTCCCATTGACCCAAACACGGAAAAGAATGACTGGCAAAGTGGCATCTGCTGGCAGCAGCGGCGGTCTGTGACAGTGAGCATTGTTGGGGTCGAGTAAAGGGGGTGTGTCTTTGCACTGCAGATTTGCATGAACCATGTCAAACCAGCTTTGAGGTACGTACTCGCTCGAGTAAATTTAGGTACTTAGGTACTTGCACCTACGATTTATCTCGAGACGATCGACCCCGCGACGCGACGACCAGGGGACCAAGAGATGGTGGCTTTGCATAGTGTGGCTGATGAGCCGCGCATTGAATTCGTCCGTCTTTCGGAAACAGCGGAAAGTGCCTTTTTGATTGCTTAGTAGGGGCACATAATTAATGACACATGGAAGAAGAAGAAGAAGAAAAGAAAGAAAAGCATCGACTTGCAGAGGCTTTACTCAGCCGACCACCCAGGACCTATATCTAGGTATCACAGTATCACCTCATTCTTGCGCGCAGCTGTCAAACCGTAAAGTTAAGTCGCGCCCAGCTTTGGACATTCGAACAACAATGGATGAGGAAACGAACGCGGCGGCTCGACCAACCTTGCGGTATAAACATGTATGATCATCTCGTTGGACAGGCGATGATGCTGGGGACAGGCCTGAAGTTGGCCAGGGACGCATGGCCTTTGGATCAAGTACCGTGTACAGGATCGGATCGCTTTGGCCAACGGCGGGGCTCTGCTTATTCTCAAAAGAAAGCCTGGGCGCTTTCGGATGGAGGGGCATATTGGGTGCTCAGTGCTAAGAGGGGTTGCTTTGGGGGGGCATTCGCTAGGTGCTGTTGTGCTGAGCTCAGCGCATAGAGAGGAGGGGCAGGGGACCGGGCTGCTAGTTTAGGTGCCAATTGAAGGTTATTCAACTTTCCCTTCGCATCTGATGTCGCCAGGGCAAAGTACTCTCTACCTCCTTTGCCACCGAATGCTGTTTACAGATAGCTCGGGAAACTTTCCAGCTAGGTAGGTTCTGGTACGTTTGCAGCTTCCATTAACCAAACAGACAGCTCTACTGTCATGCCCTTTGTTCGAGCTTGCTTTGGGGCCAATCAACAGCCAACCCCACGTAGATGAGGGAGGTTAATCAGTCCCCCCCCCAGGCGACCCTGCCGGGCACATTCCAGAAATGGAACTGTCTCTATCCAACCTCTACTGGGATGGTCTGTCCTCCAGTGTATACTAGGTAGTATATCAAGACATGTAGATACAGCAATATGAAAGGTTTGCATGCTGGCGTACTATGTACGTATGTACTGTGTGTGTGCGCGCGTGCGTGGGCGCGCATCCCACAGCAGTTGTGCGTATGGCATATATGTGACGCAAGGCAACAGTCAAGAAATTATCCTGTTAACAGCCAAGCTGACGGCTCTCTAGGGTTTCCCTTGATAAGGCAGGAAAGTATTTCCCTGCCATCGGGCATGAGGGCGCAGAGGTGTCGTCAGCATGTGGAGGGGCAGCCGGCCAGTATTCCACGATAGCATGCTTGCCCCGCACATGCCTGACGTATTATCTAAGAATACTCTCAAGGCCCCAGGTTTGCGACCCAAGCCGCCAAAAGTCTTTGCGCGGCATGTCTTTGCCGTCCAAGTCCTACGTAAGGTGGATGTCAGGACACTACGGAGTATGTAGTTCCTAAGTTTGCACAAGCATCTAGGTCATCCAGCTCGTCCATTCCAGCTCTGGCTCCCTCTCTGCCTCTCACTCAACCCCCCAATCATCCTGCTTTGCCCTACCTTATCCTGCGCGCCTGGCACCACCCGAGGCAACTGCTTTTGAAGCTTAACTCGTCTTGCCGAACTTGAACCTTTCCGCTCACCTCAACGCACCTCACTCACCTTTTACCCCTCCAAGGCTGATTCTTGACCTCGTGGACCCAACCGTTCTGCGTGACCCCTCCATCGCCCCGAACCTCTGACGCAACAGTGCGACTGAACTTTATACGCAGTCTTTACCGATTTTTTGGACTCAACTTCCGAGCCTCCCTGACCCTGAACCATGGCGTCTTCCGGTCTCGGGAGAGGTTCCATCCTCCTTGCCTTCTGTCTACTCCTGGTGCTCCTACCAGGTCGCGCCGCCGCCTTTGGCGCCGGCAACATCCCCTCTATTGCTCAGGTAATTCGACACCACAAGGTCTTCGTTAGAAACCCACTTCGTTTTGCATACTAACGCATCGTGATGCCAGGTCGAGGGTCACAACTGGCGTCATGGAGGTGAGCGATCTGCTGTTTCCCCACTTACGCTCAACGGCTTGCTGACATGTTTACTCACAGATATCGAGGATATGCTCAAGACTATCGCCTTCTTGCACGGCAAAAAATGGACCTCCATGCTGGTGTCTCGTGTCTACTTTGGAAACTGGCTTCGCGACTACTCCCAGGCCGTCGATGTAGGCAGCTTGAAAGGAGTGAACGCCCCCACAATCAGAATTCTGGTCTGTATCATCCCCATGGCAAAAGCTGCTGCGTCGCGCTTGTCCTGACTCTTTATCTTATTATTCCAATAGATTTGGGTTCTGTCATTCATGGCCTTCGGCTACGCGACGGAAGAGTTCGAGGTAACTGAGGAGCGTCTGGGCGTCTACCGTCCAGAGGAACATATCGACAACCCCCTGGGTTACGCCGAGGGCATGGACGCGCGCAAGTTCGACCCTCGCCTTCGTGGTCCCGTTGACCCTATCGAAACCCAGATCGATCCCCGCACCGGCATGAAAAACTACATCGCCAACGAATCTGGTGGCTGGGCGACCAGCGCTGGCTACCTGCGCTTTAGCTTCGCCCGCAGCATCCACTTCGGCCGGGTCTACACAAGCGGATCACATGGCTCCGGAAAGGAGGCCGACCTTTGCGAGGCATTGCGTTGTCTCGGACAGGCACTTCACTGCATGGAGGACTTCAGCGCGCACAGCAACTACTGTGAGCTTGCTCTGCGAGAGCTGGGCTACCATGAGGTGTATCCCCACTGCGGTACTGCCACCGAGATTAACCTTAATGGCCGCCGGGTCTTCCCTCTTGTCACCGGGACCTTTGGCGCTGTTGATTTCCTGCACTCTGTTCTCGGCGAAGCTACGGACCACTTCACCCAGTCTGAGGTGGATGAAATGAATGTCGCCCTCAAGAATGCTGAAGGCATGACTTCGAACATGACTGGCGGCAGCACTGGGTCTCGTGGCTTTCTGGGACTTGGCTCCTCGAAGCCGAACGACTTCATTTCTCTTGTCAGCCAGCTCCCAGGCATTGGCGGCGACCTTGCTGGCCAGGCCCGCAATTTGCAAGCTCAATCGGCCGCTCAAGAGCAGCAGAACACCCACTCGGGCAGTGATCTTAGCCGTGGGGACCTCAGCCGCGATAGCGCAAACCAAGTCCCCGGCATGAGCACCAACTTCGACCCTGTCGAAACTGCCCGGAAGATTTACCCGATCCTGCAGTTCCGAGACAAAATCGTCAAGTCTATCAGCAACATGATCTCCAAGATCCCCGGCTTGGAAAAGCTCTTGGACCACATCAGTGAGACGCTCACTGCCTTCATTCTGGGGCTGCTGGCGCCGTTTGTCAGGCCCATCATCACGCAGGTCTCCAAGGTCCTCAAGGACGGTTCCTCAACTGTCATTGATGCCAGCTCCAACTCTCAGCTGGAGCCCTGGACAAATCCTAGCTGCGATAATCCTACACACTCCATGCTATCCAAGGATCACTTCACCAACATCCTGAATTCTTGCGCGGGCAGAGTTGCTGCTACCATTTTGCAATATGTTGTCCCGTAAGTCAGCAGACTGTGGTCTTTGCCTTTCAAGGCCAAGCTGACAATATTGTAGGCGTGTTCTTTACGCTTGGGAGAATCCCGGAGTACCTGTCGATGAAGTCGTCAATGACGTCCTCCGTGCTTTCCACCACCCGGCAGCCCGCGATGACAGAATCCAGATTCAAAAGGACATGTTCGAGACGGTCCGCAAGTGGGCAAACGAGAGTTCCCACAAGCACGAGCTGTCCCACTTGCTCTCGTCCGAGTCAGTCAAGGCTGGAAGGAACCATATTCTCACCGGCGGTGACGGAACGAAGAGTGTCGGAGGTCCGGGTCACACTCACTCCCATGGAGCCTTCGACAGCTTCGGTGAGCTGGGACATGGCAAGGTACAGGGTTCGCTATGGAACCAGATTCGCACGCGCGATCTGAGCTCCATGGAGGGCGATGACACGAAGCCCTTGTCGAGCTCTCCCCTTCCTCCGTCGCGACCAGATTACGGATACCACGAGAGCCAGGGAGGAAGCAGTCACCACTACTCGGCCTCCCAGTCATCCCAAGGTCAGGCCTCAAGCTACTACAGCCAGCCTGGACCACAAGGCCATGACCAACAGCCTCCTCCGCCCACCGGTCAGTGGGGTCCTCCGCAACCACCGCATGGTTACGGCGGCCCCGGCTACGGCGGTCCGCCTGGTTATGGTGGTCCTGGATACGGTGGGCACCCTCAACCCCAGTATCCCCCTCACCACCAGCAACCGCCTCCTCATCATCAGCAAGGCGGCTGGAACCAGTATCCGGGCCAGTACGGCGGCTACTAAACGAGTGCGGGATATCGAAATGAACAGTGCCAGCAGTTGGCGATCCGGGTCGAGGGATACGGGCTAGGAGTCCTTGGGGAAACACGGTTACGGGTCGGGTCGGCAAGAAAATATTCATTTGAATCCATTTGGACTCACGAGGCTAGAACGATTTTCTGCGTCAGTGCGTAGAAGAGTTGCACAAAACACGAACCGCATGGTTAATATCTGATTTGATGGTATTCCTTCGTAAATCACGTTTGTTTTTTGTTACTTGACCCAGTGAATATGATCCTTCCCACCGATGTGTTCACATTGACCGGAGCGTGCTTGAAGTCCCGCTTAGCTCCCAAAGAGACAGCAATTGAGGCGATGAATGGTCCTCTTCCCTCTACCTTCCTCCCTACCCATCCTTCGAGACCCACAGCCATGTATTACCCCGTCGCGGGGTTACTGCTTGCCTCGCCGGGGATCCAACGCCTCGGCCCTCCTCTTGTCGCGAATCTCCTTGGTCCCGAGACTACCGACGCCGCCCTCGGACCGGCGCTCCCAGCCACCCAGCCTGACGACCAGACACGTAGCGTTGTCTCCGTCGTGGGATACCTCGGTGGCGTAGTTGACCACGTCCTTGGCACCCTCCTCGGGCGTCCTGGCCTCCTTGATCACGTCGACAATCTCCTGGTCGCTGAGCGTGCCCGAGATGCCGTCGCTCATGAGAACCAGGAACGAATACTCGGCCGGGCCGATCTCGACGCGGGTGATTTCCGGCTCGGCCGACACGCCGATGCGCTTGCTCCGCATGTCACCGAACGCCCGGCTGTTAGCGAGTCCCGCGATTCGGTCTTCGCCGAAGCTGTCCGCCGATACCATGGATCCAGCCGGCGCGTACCGCCGAAGGCGGCGGCTTTCGGTGGGCGTGGTTGGATGGTGGTCCGAAGTAAGAGGCTGCGCAAGACCGGTGGTTGTTTGGCAGAGGAGGATGCGCGTGTCACCGACATGCGCAACTATCAAGGTCGATTGCGCGTTGGGATGCCAGAAGGGCGCCGGAGTGGGCGTCGAGATGAGCGCGATGGACGCCGTCGATCCACCTTTGAAGCGTGAAAGACCCCCGATGCCATGCCCGGATGGTGGTTTATGAGGCACCCCGAGGATTTCGTCGCTGTTTACAGGACGGTCGCCCGCGTGCGGATCGTCGGGGTCGGGCTTGCGAGCCTGGGCGGAAACGAAGTCCAAGTCTGCTCTCAGAAAGGCATACATGAGAACCGACTCCACCGTGACTTGAGGCTCGTCGCTGTTGCTCTCTTTCTTGTCTTCCGAGAGCTTGAAGTACTCGGGATTGAAACGCCTAAAGTACCCACCAACGGTCTGCCGGTACTCGTCCACCAGATCTCTCGTGAGCTTGACAGCCTTGGGGATGTCATCTACCCTCACCGAGACTGGGTCGACCCCTTTGAGAGGCTCCTTTCTCTTGGGATTTTTCAAAACGCCATGCTTGTCCTGCTCGGGCACCAGGATTTCATCCTTGACATCCTCTTCAGTTTTCATGAAGAGCTCTTCGGATCTTCCAGGATCTTCGTCTTTGCGACCAGTCTCTTGTTGGCCCGTCTTCAGGCTGCTCTGAAGTCCAAAGTCTGCGGAGGCTTGCTCGATGTAACCATGCAATTCGTCCCGCAGGAACTCGGCACACTGGGTCCCGCCATGGCCGTCAAAGATGCCAAAGTAGAAAACCTGAGGGTCGCCGAGTGCGCTGTCAGCGGATGTTGCCTCGTTGGAATTCTGAATCGGCCTTCTCTGAAGACTGATGGGAGCCCGCTTGGCAAAAGCTGGCATGCTGATGGTGCCAGCCTGATTTGTGTCCTCATTGTACGAGCGTTGGCCTCTCAACGAGGCAACTCCGAAATGATGCTTGGCTCTTTTGAGTGGGATTCGGACCACGGTGAGATCCCGACTGGGCATGTTCAGGCTGGCAGCGGCTGGCGAAGACCCGGGTGTCTGGGTGTGGGGGGTTGAGGCATCGCGGGGCAACTTGTGTCCAGGCCCAGCTGATGTCCGAGAATCCGGGTGTAACGAGGACGACGGAAGGTGGGTGACAAAGTAGTTGTGAAAGAATCGCCGGTTTCCGAGGAACGGCACTTCAATGTCGCCCAGCAAACATCGCCGCTGAATCTTGGCCCTTGGAAGCCAGCCCGCAGGCCGTCCGATTCCAGAACTCTCGGAGTAGTCTCGCCGCGATGCATGTATCGGAACCGTAAGAGAGGCAGGTTTGTCGTTGGGTTCTCGGGTGTGTGTGCTTAGGCACGGACGAATCGGCTGGACGGCTGGGGTTGCAAAGGCTCGGATGGTTCCATGGTGTTGCGCTACTTGTCGCGTTGAGCAGCGTGTGAAAGCCGGCATTGTTTTGGGGAATGACGAGGTTCGGACAGAGACGTCGGGAGCGTCACTGGCACTGCAGCAGCTCAGATAGGACGGCCTTCCTGCTGGCGAAAGCCATGGGCTTCAGCTCGTCAAGCTGAGGCGGCGGTAGCTTGTGAGGGGTCGAAGGTGTAATCTCGCGGCTGGTCCTCTTCAGGGGTGCGAAAGGAGAGGGGTCGTCAGCTATTGCGTCGACGACGTCGAGGCATTGGCATGAAGCTACCGCAATGCTGTTAGGTATCGTCGCGCCGGAGAAAGGTAATCGGCCGAGGGAATGGGCAGATGGATCGCAGTTAGCGCTGGACAGTGTTTGTATTTGCTTCTGGCCGATTGTTTGGATTCGACACAGTGGTAGGAGGAGGATTGAGTTCGGCCAAGGCACACACGGTTGGCCTCGGTTGGATCATGGATGGGCCCGGCGACGTAATGAGACGGACCTGCAAAGGAAGTACGGGAGGGATAGGTGCTGGTCATGGAGGTTTCTGCTCCGTACCCTGCCGCCAGCTGCTCGCCGTGGCCGTCTTTAGGGTCTTTAGGGGGAATTACCACATTTAGCTGCAGCCAATCCCGTAGGTCACCAGCCTTAGATTCAGGCAAAGCCGACGTATTATGTATATTATACTTTACACTAGTGGCGGGGCCGATACCTGCCATCCAACGACGGATTCGGGCTCACTTATCTAATCAGCTACCAAAGCAGGAACTGTGTCAAAACTGGCTTCTACGCACAAACACACACGGTACTGGACCCACTACCTTGGAATCAGGCAGAGGCAGATGCACCAGCACTGGGCTTTCGAGAGGCAAATGGCATGTTGGGCATTCACTTACATCAGTTACGACTTTTCATGGTCCAAGATTCTCGCCCTTAGTTTGCCCTCAACGCCGAGTGATGGAAAACTGTCTCTTCACCCTTCATGACACTCTTTGAGTTGCGGCAGAGACCCCAAACCCCTGCGGCGCTGTCTGACGATGGAAGACCCGGTGCTAGTTCAGGATGACACATCGGATCCGTCCTCGGACCAGGCTTTCCCCGTCGTGCTCATAAGCGACGACGGAGATGTCGTTCTTGACGTTACATTCGAGACGTCCAGAGAGACCATAGCCGCCGCTCGGAAGACTTGGCAGGCTGCCAGCAAGAAAATCGGTGCCCCCTGCATCCCCCAGCCTAACCTGTGCCCGGTCATCAGAGTCGCCTATCGCGTCAAGCTCTCCGCTCTGAAGAGGCATTCCCGGTACTTTGATAACCTCCTCGGAAACAAGCAGTTCTCCGAGGCGAGTAACATCGAGGAGACGCTTGCCCGCCTGGCTGCCGAGAGGCTCAAGCTCGCTGAAGTGGACCCTCGGGAACTGCCCTGGATCACCATCGTTGATGATGACGAAGCCACGAGGTCCATCGGTCGGGAGAAGGTCTTTGAGGATTTGATGAGGATCATGCACGGGAAGCTGATACAATCTACGACTGTCAATATGCTCCATGTGACAACCCTGGCCATCTTGGCCGATCGCTTCGATTGTCGGTCCTTGGTCTCAAGATACCTGAGTATCGAACTCAAGTTCAAGTGGCCCCTGACGAGTGCTAAAACAGCGCGAGCAGGGGCACAGAGGAAAACCTGGGACGTCGAGAATATACTCAGACAGAAGATTCTAGTCGCCTGGTTGTTGGAGCAGCCGCCCAGGCTCCATAACTACACACGAGAGCTGATTCTTCGTGGCTCTGTCCGCTGGAGTGCCTTGTCCGCCGACGAGTTCTCACGCACTGAGCTGTGGTGGCACCTGCCGGACGGCTTGGAGCGTGAGTGACTGAGCCTTCACTGAACCCCGAATATGTGCTGACCGCAACTAGGAGAACTACAGCACCGCCGAGAGTGTGTGTTGAATACCATCGCCTCAGTCCATCGCCACTTCATAGCCTTGTATTCCTCCCGCGAGAGGCAATGTAAACTTGGGTACGACTCAAGCTCCGCCTGTGACTCGTTCCAACTGGGCCAGATGCTCAAGTTCTTCACGAGCAAAGAGCTGATGGGTGTCGTCGACTTCGGGCCAAGCTCGTATGACAACATCCCAGACTCTTCAGTCATTGACGTTGAGGAAATCTTGGCCATGTTGAAGCAGGTGCCGGGCTATCAGATCGACAAGAATCACACCAACTGTGGCATTCGAACACGTCTTGAACCCATAGTGGAATACATAAGATCTATGATGTCGTCGACCGTCCTTTCAATATCCCAGGTTGATTGGAAGAACAACCGAGCGTCGGCCTCCTGGGTACCCGATGCCGACGGAGTTATGAGCTTGGACAACGAGGAGAATAAGTTTGAATTCACTAGAGGCCTAGCGAGCGATCAGCGTCTTCGGTATGAGGGCAACATGTATGCCGACAAGATGGCACGGAGGCTATTCACTGCTGACAAGTGGGATTGGACGCCCGAATATTGATAGAGTTTTATGGCACCATCACTTGGATAACGGTATTCTCAAAGCTCCTCGGCTAGTATTGACGCCCCAGTGTATGTCGAGAATACTGAAATAATACGTCGCAGGCCGGAGAGCCCCGCTTTGTATTGGCAGAAACCCTATGTCATAAACACATCGCCTGCTACACTATACTTCTACGACAATTCGCAGCCTACTTGCCTTCACTGAATGGCTTCTACTGGTTTTCCCAAACTATCCATTCACCCTGCATGTGGCAATATTGGGGGGGCATGAATGGGCGCTTTGCTTAGGCCCTCCTCCTTTAAGAGGTAGTGATGGTCTTTGTAGTGGCTGTATCATTGCCCTTCTCGGACGTTCCGGACTGTTCCTCGCTCCCGCTGAGGTCGTCAGAAACACGTCTGTCGCCATTTTCAAAGGGTTTGGGCTTCGTCAGCGGCCAACGTCCCTTGGTCTCGCGGAATCTCATGAGAACGAAACATGCGATGACAAAGATCCAGTACACATTATAGGCGATGACGGACCCATACGTCGCGGAGTTCGTCCAACCGAAGACGGCGTTGAAGATGCCCCAACCGCCACCGCCGTTCAGCTCGGGGCTACAGCACTTGCAGCAAATCAGTACATGAGCACACGGTAATTCAAGTCTGGAGACTCACGTTGACGTGCCAGACGCTCTTGTCGATGTCGTATGAACCTGGGCCGTTCCCAAGCTCCGCAGCGTCACCGCCGACGACGTTGTTCCACTCCTGCTGCTCCAAATCCCAGACTGCTCTGGAAAAGAGGCCGGCTGCGACAAGGTACAGAAGGCAAGTAGATACGACGAGGAAGACTTGTAGCTTGGCTGTAGACCCACCCCTTTATGAGGATCAGCAGGGCAATCGCATGTCGCTGGACGCAGGGCACTTACTTATACAAGACATAGCCGACCAGGGCGCCCACCGCCAACCCGACCACTGCCGGGAGCGGCACGGCAGCGGCAGGGGCGGAAAAGGAAACACCAGCGACGAAAACGATGGCCTCGATACCTTCCCGGAGAACGGTGATGAAAGGAAGGAAAAACATGGCATACTTCTCGGCGAAGTGCTTGAACCACCCCCGGTTGGGACCGGTCTTGATGGGGGTTTCCATGGCCTTTGCGAGCTTGACTCGCCACTTCTCCTGCATCTTGCCGATGCGGAGCAGGGCGGCCCCCATGATTGTGATGATGATGGCGGCAACAAGTGAGAAGGCGCCCTCGTAATAAAGTTCATTGGCGTCCCAGCTGTTACGACCGAGCTTGTAGAAGACGCCGATGACGGCGCCCGCTGTGACCAGGCATATCAGGAAGCCGATGCCCGTGCCGAGCCAGACCTGCGGCAGGCGCATCAGCAACAAATCCCGGTGCGAGGATGAGGTGAGGGCTCGTTACCTGTTTACGCAAGGACTTGTACACGGCCAAATCTCTGTTTGGCCCGTCGAGGGTCTGCTTGAGGAAAGCGAGCAGGACCGAGACGATGATGACAGTCTCCAGAGACTCTCTAAAGACCACGAGGAACACCGGTACGGAGAAGACGTCGACGGCCATTGCGGAGTGAGGGAAGAGGACGAGTGAAAGGCGATGAGCGTCGCGGTTCGAGGAAAAAGACAAAGAGGAGCAAGCAAGTGGGAAATTTTTTGATCACTTCGGATGGGGAGAACCGCTTGATCTGATAAATTCAATCAGATAATCCTGAGGCCAGGGTGTATGTCTAGCTCGGTACAGAGACGGCGGTCCCGATGGTGGAACGCTAGCGGTCCAGAACAAATCAGGGAGAGCGGGCATCTCTTGATTATCAGCAGACCATGTCAAGAGGTAACACAGGAGCGAGTAGCGGCCGAGATGGGAAAGATGACGCGAGGACGGGAGGGGTATAACTGGTGCAAGTTCAAGGGATGCCCAATGAGACCGCGGTCGACTAGAAAGGCTCAAGGTTTTATTTGACCGAGCCATGTCTTCACGACAAGCTTTTCTCAAAAACACATAGCATGATGTTAATTGGGGCCGGTTACTGTAGCTCGCTTCGTGTTGAGCTGGCCCGCATGCATGGGAGATGCTAGTTTACATTCCTAGGCCAGCCGCCAGCTTGACCTGCCTACCTAGTGCGGACCAATGGGGTCTCGGGGCGACACAAGGGCACGGGCTCGGCATTTCGACGTTGAATATGCTGCTTGTCCCGTCGAGAGAGAGGTCCGTGGTCTCTGACACTTGAACATGAGATGACATAGTCAGCCGCGGGAATAGCCACCGGAGCTGGGGCCTGCCGTTTGCGATGGAGTGTTGACCGAAGCCTGTAGATGGGCAAAGGACGATCCTCATTCGCCGTTGGCGCAGCTCTTGAAGGTTTAGCTCGTTATCGACGAGTAAGCCTCCGGCGGTTTTCAGTTCTGAACATGTCTGGCTCAGGTGCCATTAGACCTGTGCGGGTCCAATCATGCCATCGAACCACTTTGTACAACTTTTTGGGACTATTACTCATAACACCATCGCCTAATTACTTCTCGGCGAATGACAGAGTCCCCTCGATGGTACTGCGATCGCCGCTGAACCATCTCGTGATAGTGAGTTGAGGAATTTGGAAGCAATTTGTACAAGGAACCAAACATCGTCTTCTCTTGGTTCCCAGGACTCTGGGAACATGGCAGATGTCGACCATACACACACTGGAAATCTCTACAGACAGAGGTCGATCCTAAAATCGTATGTTTCGGCTCTGTCATGTCAGTCAGCTCGTTCGGCGATCATAGGCGGCATAAATCCAAAAAAACAAACATCTCAGAACAGGGGGCTACTGTGTAGGCGAGACCCAGGTTGCACTACCGCGGAGAGACAAGCTTTTTCCTGAGTGGAGCGGGACCCCAGTAGGTATCACCAATGCCGACAACCTGGCGAGCCAATGGGTCTGCCACACTACCTGACTGTTGTTTGTCTCTAGGCATTCTGTTCCGAGGTGGGAGGACTAGGTAACATGACGGGCGCGCGAGAGGGAGGGCGCTAGTGGCAGCACGCGGTCTGACTTGATTGCATCTGATATGATGATTTGCCTTGCACTAACCCAATCCACCCACCATCACCTCCTCCGGCTCTAGGATCTGGAACGAGTGGCGTGTCGGGCCCATGAGATCAGATTGATAAGATGCATTTGGAAAGGGAGGGGGGGATACCCTGGCGATCATGCCCCCCTCGCTAGAAGTTGCCGTTTGATCAAGTCAACCAACGGTAGTGAGTAGGGAGATGTTCATTTTTTCTCGACTGTAGTCACCGCTGGGACACTTCTCGTCTCGTGGGACAATATCCGACAGGATACACAAAGACGTGACCGTGCCGTCCTTCCAGATACCCTTCATCCTCTGGCCGTCTTCTCGAATTCCCCAGGGACCGCGCAACGATGACAGGCACTACAGTCTTCTTGACTCTTGTCTCCGCTCTTGCGGGGACCGCGTGTGCGGCCACAGTCTCTCACGACTTCAATATCGGCTGGGTAACGGCAAACCCAGACGGCGCCTTCGACCGCCCAACAATCGGCATCAATGGCCAGTGGCCAATTCCTCGCATCGATGTGAACGTCGGGGACACCGTCCTCATCAACGTTCACAATGGTCTGGGGAACCAGTCGACATCCCTTCACTTCCACGGCTTGTTCATGAACGGCTCGACTCACATGGACGGGCCGGCCCAAGTCAGCCAGTGCGCCATCCCGCCGGGCTCGTCATTCACGTACAACTTCACCGTGAGCTGCACCCCGGCAGAAACAGTGACGCAAAGCTTCTCTGACATTGTATAGATCAACCAGCCGGGCACGTACTGGTACCACTCCCACACCAAAAGCCAGTATCCAGACGGCCTCAGGGCGCCTCTTATCGTTCACGACCCCAAGTCCCCGTTCATTGGCAAGTACGACGAAGAAGTCGTCGTGTCACTGTCCGACTGGTACCACAACCAGATGGCCGACCTCATCCCTGGCTTCATGAGCAAGGGCAACCCCACCGGCGCCGAGCCCGTTCCGCAGGCCGCCCTCATGAACGACACGCAGAACCTCACGGTGGCCGTCCAGCCCGGTAAGACGTACCTCTTCCGCTTGGTCAACATGGCCGCCTTCGCCGGCCAGTACGTCTGGATCGAGGGTCACAACATCTCCATCGTGGAGGTGGATGGCGTCTACACGGAGCCGGCGGAAGCGAGCATGATTTACGTATCCGCCGCCCAGAGGTATAGCTTCCTGGTCAAGACCCGGAACGATACCACGTCCAACTTTGCCATTGTCGGCAGCATGGACACCGTAAGCTGCACCCGAGCAAAAAAAACCCTCAGTGCTCTGCCACCGAACTGACGAGAGCAGTCTCTCTTCGACACGATCCCCGCAGGCCTCAACTACAACGTCACGGGCTGGCTCGTCTACGACACCTCGAAGCCTCTCAGCCCGCCAGCGACAGTCGACACCTTCGCCCCCTTCGACGACATGACCCTGACTCCCCACGACAGGCAGCCTCTCCTTCCAGAGCCCTCGAGGACCGTTGAGCTGGACGTCATCATGGACAACCTCGGCGACGGCGCCAACTACGCCTTCTTCAACAACATCACCTACAAGGCTCCCAAGGTTCCGACCCTCTACACCGCCCTCTCCGCCGGCAGCGCCGCCACGAACCCCGAGGTCTACGGCACCTACACGCACAGCTTCGTCCTCGAGCGCGGCGATGTCGTCCAGGTCGTCGTCAACAACCTCGACTCGGGCCGCCACCCCTTCCATCTGCACGGCCACGAGTTCCAAGCCTTGTACCGCGCGCCCGAGGGGGGCGGCACCTTCGCCAGCGCCAACGTCACCGAGGCGGGCTTCCCCGCCATGCCCATGCGTCGCGATACGCTTGTCGTGTGGCCGAATGGAAACATTGTTCTTCGCTTCCGGGCGAATAACCCTGGTGAGTTCTGCCCCCCACCCACCCCGTCCCTCTCTTCCGGAAACTCGAGGCCAACACTCGGAATCTAGGCGTCTGGCTTTTCCACTGCCACATAGAGTGGCATGTGACATCAGGCCTGCTGGCCACCTTCGTCGAGGCGCCCCTGGACCTCCAAAAGACCCTGTCCATCCCCCAGAACCACCTTGACGTCTGCGCGGCAGCCAACGTCCCGACCGCCGGCAACGCCGCAGGAAACACCAAGGACTTCCTGGACCTGAGCGGGCAGAACACGCCCCCCGCTCGGCTTCCCGATGGGTACGTCGCCCCCAGACTAACTAGCCCCAAGACGCTCCTCCGACGCTCTTCTTTTGGTAAACGTAGGCTGACACGCGAGCAACTAGCTTCACCGCTCGAGGAATCGTGGCCCTCGTCTTCAGCTGCATAACGGGCATCCTCGGTGTCCTGGTCGTGGGATGGTACGGCCTGGCCAAGACAGAGAACGGCCCTTCTCGGGTTGGGTACGCCGGCTCGGCGTCGGTGGCGCAGACCGGCGACGGCCAGAAGGAAGAAACCGTCATGGTCGGCGCCGCGTCCGGCGGAGCGGGAGCCGGTCGAACTTGACGGACGTCATTTACCCAACGTTCGAGAAGGTGGAACCTAGGAAGCCACGTGCAGTCAAACGTGGTTTAAACCAGTGTGCTTCGGCTCCAGACGAAAAGCCTGTCGGCTTGGGGGTTTTTGAGTCACCAGACGATGTTTAGCACAGACGCAGGGCGACGCCCCGTCGGACTGGTCAGCAACTCGATCCCGCCACCCAGCCCGACGTCTTGAATATATGAATCATAAATTAGTCTAATTTGTGAAATAAATCGAGTTGATAAATCGACACAACTCCCGACTCCTGATTATGACACTCGGCCGATCATTTCCTTCCCCCGTAGCTGGCCTCAGCTATCCTGGCCGGGCAAGTGCCAATACCCATTATATCTAGAGTCCTCTCGAGTCCTCCGGGTACAAGAAAGAAAAATTGCTCCTCCAGTCTCGCCATCCTGGGTACTTCCGCAGCAGTAATGTGCCTGCTTGGAGTCATACGTGTACTGGACCTTTCTCCTCGTGTGGTCTTTTACACATCTTCCCTGCCCACGGCAACAGGCACCACAATCGCCGGCTTGACGCTGTTGCCAGGTCGTCCGGCCTCCTAACTCGCACCGCTGCGTTGCACATTACGTCTCGTCCAAGGAAAATCATGGGCGACAGACGTGGTACGCTGCGGTCACCTATGCATGCGCTCGCATCTAACACTGTTTACTGGTGATTCTAGGTGCTCTTGGTCTTCTTTCTAGGCAAGCCCTTCGCCCGTCTCGCGGCAACATCGCCCTCGGCCAGCCACTTGCTCGCGTTGACAAGCTGGATGACGTTGATGCCCTGCTTGATCAACATGACAGGGCAGCTGATGGAGGCAAGGATCCACGGCCAAGTCGAGTCCATCTTGTTTGCCCGAGCAAGCTCAAGGGCGGCAGCGCTATAGGGGTTCGGGAAAATTTGGCTCAGCAGCGATGTGTTGACTTGCGCGCCCGCCTGGATCTGCATGGCTTCCTTGTTGGACACGGAGCTCAGCAGAGACGGCGACAGCAGCGGGGACGAGAAGCTCAGCAGGTAAAGGGCGATAAAGAAGAGCTCGTTCAGGGCGCAGAAGACAAAGAGGACGGTCTGGGAAATATTGTCAGCAACCGTGTCGCGGGAGGGCATTCTGTAGCGAAGCGAACCTTGTTGGTGTAGTACAAGTGGAGGATCTTGCTGCGGCTCTCGTCGATGTTCTTGTGGCTGCTGTCAGAGCCCGCCATAGAGAGGGTGGCGTACATGTGGATGTAGTGACTGGAGAAGTCAAGCGAGAGAAGCATCTGAAAAACGATGGTCCAACGAGGGAATGCGCAGGACAAGAAAACCAGCAAGCACGAAGTTGTACACCTATCCGTAACCATGTCCAGCACGGCGCCAAAACGAGTGGATTGCTCAAATGCGCGCGCAGCGTATCCGTCAAGAGCATCCAAAAGGCACGACACGCTGTATAACAGAGAGCAGGTGCGCGGATGGAGGGGCATGTAGTAGAGGGAGGCGATGGCAAGAACGATGCGGAAGTAGCCTGTGATGACATGCTAGTTAGCGGCGTGTTGGGAATCTCTGGGCCCGGCAGGCAAACGTACCGATGATGTTGGGCCAGAACAGAAAGATATTCTCCTTTGGGCCGTGTTCCGAAGCTTCCGCTACAGTAGCTTCGTTGCCGTTTCCGTTCATTGCGACTTGTCGGACAGGTTCATCGCCAGCGGCCGCTCGGTCGGGCAGCTCGCCAGCAGCGGCCTGGGCAGCCTGAGCGGCCTGGCGCCTCGTCTGTCGTACCGACATGGTGATGGGATGTGTAGACGACGGAGCTCGGCAGATGGATGACGTTGAAGTGTCAGGTATGGGGCGCGAAGAGCTTTTAAAGCGTGGGCGAGGCGACCAAGGCAGCCGTTGTCGCAGTGGAGGTTGCACGGATGATCGATAAGTGGCTCCTCTAGTGATAGTATCCGTTTCCGAAAGCGAGGGATGAAGATTGGAAGAGGATAGTCAGCTTCTAGCAGATGGTTTATCGGTGACGAGGGCCGTTCTGGCGCAAAGAACTGCAAATAGATTGAGGCACAGGCGACGCGCGTTGGATGACTTGGTAGATGGTGCCTAACAAAGAAGTGCGAGCAGCAGCAGTTGATACAGAGAGAGGATGCCAGTGCTGATGTGGGATCGGACGGGACGGAAGTGGTCGGTTGAAAATGTTGGAGTACCTCCCTAGCCTACCTAGGTAGGTAAGTAGATAACTTGGTTTAACGGGAGGGATGTTGTACCTATGTACGTACTTAGGCGTTATAGTGCAGGTAGATTGCTTGGCTTTTCTGCCTTTCGTAATGACTTGTAAGGTGTCTTGTTCTCTTCGGTTCTGCGAGGGCACAAAGGGACCGCGATAGGTACATACCTAGTACATACCGAACAGTCGTGCCCTGCCCGATTCTTTGTAGTACCCGCAGCACTTCGCTAGCTATTCGGCCATTCTTACGTATCTCATCTGAGGTCCGGATCTGCAGTGGGTACACGCTCTTTCGAAATCAACCTTTTACTGGACTTTTGACAGGGGATAGGCGGCGCTGAGCTCTTGATGCCAGCTTCGACCTACCTACCTACCTACCTACCTACCTAGACAAGGCAGGGCCCAGGAAGCGGGTTGTTGGACACCTAAGCAATGATAAGGGGGACAAAAGAGATAAGACACCTCTGCGCCTTGCACATGAAGCGTGCGTTGCATCGCCCGTGACAGTGGCACCTCTCACGTCTGGCGTCGTCACGACGGCATACTAAGGTCTGTAGACGCCAATGGCTCTCTTATATTATGCTCGTCCCTACGCTCCTCCGCCCATGCCTATCCGATATCAACGGCATAGTACAGGACGAACTCGAGACCACCATTACCTCGGACGTTATCCACGGGCGTACACAGCGCTTCCGCACGCCGATACGAAGGGGAAACTAGGCATGTCTTAAAATGCCTATCTCAGCATGTTGCGTTTGTACGCTCGAGATAGCCTGTTCCCTGACTAGTCAATATGGTGGCTCCAACTTATCTCGAGGACCTTCTCGTCTTGCGATAAGCAGACAGACCGCCAACACCCCGCCTTCGCACCTCCTGAACGGTACCCCGCACTCGATTCTGTCCATCGCTGATGCTCGACAAATGCTCGATCAAACTCCCCAGCAGCATACACGGACGCGCTGCGCGCACGCATCGCTAAAACTACGCTCGAGCTGATGGACGTATATTTTATTGAGGACCGGCATTTTGTTTGCGCACGAGACTGGTGCGCTTGCTCCTAGTCCCGCTGTTCTCTGTGTCGGAAGGGAAGTTGGCCGCGAGATGACGCTATCACGCGAGCCCTTGTGGCTGGCCGTCAATGTAGGTCTTGAGAACTCTTGCCAGTTAGAGTGGCACGGGCCCACATACCCGACTCGTCCTCCCGGAGATAGGTAGGTAGGTAGGCAGGTGGGATGGTCCAACGAGACAGTCACAGGTATAATAGTCAATGTTAATATCATATCAGTGCCTATTCGAGCCATATGGAAAGGTGCTCTTGGCGTCTGGAGTTGAGATCACACTTTGATTTTCAGTTGCGAACTCGGTCAATACTAATAGATAGAATTGTACAAACAAGCTGTCACGTAGGGTTGGTTAAGGTAGAAGTCAGGGTAGAGGTTATGATTAGGGAGAGGACTAGGGTTAGATGGATATATTTGGATTCATGTGTTTGCGAGTGATTAGCCAGAGCTGGCGGCGGGATATACTCACCGCACTAATAGGGCTCCATCATGGTGCGTTTCTCTACCGAACCCTCTCGTAAGGGGTATCAAGCATCATCTTCATACTGTGTTTTCCCCACTGTGTTTCTGTACTTATTGCTTACCTGAACGACCCGACGAGGGACCGCCCCGGCTACCTATCCCAGACAAACTTCTGAAGACACGGCTGTCGATGTTGATTCCGCTTGGGGTGGGTCATGGGCCATGGGCTCACCTAGACTTCACAAAGCCCAGGAACCAACAACAGTCTAATGCAAGTAACCTTGGGCTAGTGTCTTGACTACCTATGGCTCTGGTACACACCTCTCAGCCCTTCAGTTCATGATTGCCTTCGCCAGCACTTGGTAACAGAAGCCCGAACGTGTCGCTTCCTCGGGTGTGACTAGCGTCGCTTATCGGATCTCATAGACAACCACGATGCTGCTTCGACCACGACCGATGCTCAGGTTGGTCTACACAGTAAGACTATCCTGGGGATGGCTTGGGAGACCTCGGCTTGTCTCACGACCCCTTTGGCAATCCTACGCTACTGTCGGTGGAAGCCGTTGGAAAGGAAACGAGGCCAGGGCCTGACAAAGGGTAGCATGGCTGCGGGGGCCAGCAAGCACACACCGTTCTTTAGTTCATCGGGCGTCCCGTCACTTCCGCGCAAAACGGCACGAGGCCGCCATACTTGGCGGAACTAAGACCCAGGGACATGGTACGATATTTCCCAACCGCTCCGAATTGATAGGCCAACAGAGTCATGGATTGCTTGACGTCTACTACGTATAGCATCCGGCCCGCAGCCCTCGGAGGCAGCGGTCACGCCGCGCGCGACACATTGATTCCGCATGCGGCGTTGAGTCTTCACGGCTACGGTCAAGCCCAGGAACGGAGCCAGTTGCCCAGTTTACTACTATGGATCACGGCAGCTGATTTGGCTGGCCCCTGTCTCCCAACCTCGAGTCGTCACCAATGGAGGCGGCAAAATCTTTCATATACAGCTTCTTGGCGTAAGGGCTGGACCACCCCTCCGCCCTCTGCGATGAGCCGAATATGCGATTCGTCATGTCCCTTAGCAACACAAAGAAAGACGCGTAGGTCCGGAGTCGGTGCACTCGCTCCGCTCTGCCAGCGTTCCAACGGCAATTGCACACCAAGATCACACGTCACATTATTGCAGGGGTCTCGTGGGCGGGAGGGAAAAATAAAAAATACTTTTGCTGGGCGTCTGGTATGGTTCCAGAACGTGCAGAAGGGTGGGTTTAGTCTATCTCATCTGGTTGCCCAGGCCCCTTCTGCCTTTGAAGATCGGCTCAGGCATTCTGCATTCTACCGTCAACCAGGGATGGAAGCCGTGACTCGAGCCTTACTGGTTTACTTCCCCATGGTTTGCTTCGGGTTGGGATCTGTTGCCCGGCTGCCTCTCGACTGGCCCCAAGGTTACCGTGAAGCAATTTGAGCCGAGGTTAGTTGTCAGTTGAATCATACACTTAACTACCTTCCTGGCGCGCGCGCGCGCTATATAGAGAGTTAGAGAGAGAGAAGGAGTGCGCCGCCTGCCTGGAAGAAGTCAGTCTCTTAGTTTGGCACTGGTGCCGGCATGGGCTGGTGTTCTCTTCGCCGGGATGCTACATTGAAGGTCGGCGGCATGCATCCTATTCGTACACTACTATTGAGGTCAGACCACACACCAGTAAAAAGTACCTATTGTGGTCCGACCAGGGTGCTTTACCTAGATCGAATTGAAAAGTGCCGGGATCGTCCACCTTGGCCCCTGGCTAACCCGACCCGGATTACGTAGTATCAAATGCCCCCCCCCCCTCGACAGGAAAGCCGGTGACTGGGCCGACAATTTTGTGTACCAGGATTTCATCCACAATTGAAGAATTGAGCAATGTCAGGAGAAGCAAGAGAATGAACTGCGGTGTGGGAACGAGAGGAAAGGGGATCGAGAAGGGGAGAATGTTAATACAGCATCTCTCTGACGCACAATCATTAAGCTATTTCTAAGTCAAAGAGACAATATCTCCCCCTCCTTCTCTCGGGGGGCTCTCCTGTCTCTTTCCCCTTGAACCGTGCGTCGTGCTCATCGTCAATAAGCCTCTCTCTCTTTACAACCAACAGAGGTTTGGATCCATGCACAAAACTTGTTGGTTTCTCCTGTTCTTTTGCCCCCAAACAGGCCCCCCCTCCCCCTCCCCTCTCCTCTCTCTTTCCCCCTCCAATCCCCTTGTAGAACGAGGCATGAAGAGCGAGAACCCCTCTTTCCCCCCTCGTCAATTTTTTTATGTTATTACTACTAGTCGGCCGCTCTTGCTATCCGTACTCCGTAGTCTAATCTTAGCCGCACCCCCACAGCCCATGGCCTCATTAACTTATTATTCTCTGTTTAGTCTTCACTAAAAAGTCCAGCCCACCACCACCTGGCTTTCCGTTTCTACTCTCCCTTTCGTTCTCTTTCCCTTATCCTGCCTCCATCTACTTACCTAGACGCGTCTTGTCTTGCCTCCGAAACCCGTCTCACCTCGACGTTGATTAAGCCACTGCAACGTGCGTGCTTGCACAAAAACCTTGTTCCAAGCGCCGTCTCGTCACAGACCGCCCCATCCGTTTTGCCAGCCCCCCACCCCCTCCTTCATCAGCCTCGCCTCGCTCTAGCCAAACAGCCAGACATTCCGCAATCATCCAGGCCGAGCCTTCAGTGCTGGGCCTTCTCGGAACTTGATCACTTTTTACGTCGACTTCTACCGCCTTACGCCAACAGTCGCCAGGCGTGCTCCAGGACTGGAGACATATGCCAGGATGACCTCTCACGGCACCGTGAAGGCGACTTTCGCCAGCCGCGCCGAATCGGCGAGCCACCCACTCACAGCCTACCTACTTCGCTTGATGGATCTGAAGGCTTCCAATCTATGCCTCAGCGCCGATGTTCCGACCGCAAGAGAACTGCTCCACCTGGCCGACAAGATCGGACCGTCCATCGTCGTACTGAAGACGCACCATGATATTGTCGCCGGGTGGGACTACAACCCGCAGACGGGCACTGGTGCCAGGCTTGCCGCGATAGCTCGCAAACACGGCTTCCTCATCTTCGAGGACCGCAAGTTTGGCGACATTGGTAACACGGTCCAGATGCAGTACGTTGCTGGTTCGGCGCGGATCATCGAATGGGCCCACATCACCAACGTCAACATGGTACCCGGCAAGGCTGCCGTTACGGCCCTCGCCGAAGCTGCGGCACGCTGGCGCGAACGGTACCCCTACGAGGTGAAAACGTCGGTCACGGTCGGAACGCCAAGGTCGGAGAGCTTCGACGACTACGAAGAGGACAATGGAGACGGTCACGAACATACGGTCGGCACGCCGCGACCGGCCGACATCAACGGGCGCAAGGGTAGCATCGTGTCCATCACAACACTGACCCAGCACTTCGAGCCGGCGCCGTCTCCTCGCTTTCCGAGAAACGAGTCCCACAACTCCGACGAGGTCTTGTACGCAGGTATCGAAGAGGCCCCCATGGACCGTGGCCTTCTCATCCTGGCCCAGATGTCGAGCGCCGGCAACTTTATGAACAAGGAGTACACACAGGCTTGCGTCGAGGCCGCGAGGGAGAACAAGAATTTCGTCATGGGTTTTGTGTCCCAGGAGAATCTCAACACCGAGCCTGACGATTCTTTCATCCACATGACGCCGGGATGCCAGCTGCCACCGGAGGGTGACGAAGAGAACGAGGGCGGCGTCGTGGGAGACGGCAAGGGACAACAGTACAACACGCCCGAGAAGCTCATCGAGCTCTGCGGTACTGATATTGTCATTGTCGGACGCGGTATCTTGAAGGCCGGTGATCCCCAGTCGGAAGCGGAGAGATATCGCCGGAAGGCCTGGAAGGCGTATCTCTCCCGAGTTGCGTAAGCGACTCTTGCATCTCACGCCCGCACACACACACACACACACACACTCTCTCTCTCTCTCTGACTCACAAACACACACCCAAATCAAATACCCAGGCGTGTTTATTCTTGTTATTTCCCCCCTCGGCCGCACCGATGTCGGGGGCTCTTTAGGGTGGCTATTTTCTGCAATGGCGAGTACTGTCCGTGGGTTTACGCATTTCGGGTCTGCAACGACATGCATGTTGTAGAAGAAACGGGAATCGGACTCGGCACTGAAACGGATTTTTAGACGGGGACTTGGTGACCCGGGATGGGCACAAAACAACAAAAAAAAAAGGGGGGGGGGGCCGGCGTTGAGATTGACCAAAATCTACGGATGGAAGCTATCAAGTGGACAGTCACAATTCATATATCACTGAATTGACCATGTATTGCCTATGTCTCGATCTTTGGCTCTGCTGCATGCCCTCGGAATCGTGGGCATACGGTCTTCCATGTGTCCATTAGGAGGCGATTTATTAAGGCATTGACGTCCGGTGTAGCCCGGTCCTGGTGAGTCCGTGTCAGCGGCGATCGGCAGTTGAGAAAACGGAGCACATTTTCGATTTGCCGTTGACCTCCGCAACTTGCTATGGAGCATACCCATGTTAAGGCAAAGGTTTACTGACATCAAGGTGTGCGACGGGCGAGGGACCGGGCAGAGCAAGGTAGCACAGGGATGGGACTCGATCGCACCGAGGCAACAAATAAGCCTTGGCGGACAAGGTTCCCGAGATGTGGCATGTTGTACCCTACAGTCCCGACATTGGACCTTCTCGAAGATACCTAGGTAGAAGCGAGATCTGCGACAAGCCGAGAGAGCTACTTACCGTCTCCCCGAAAGATGGTGAATTAAGAGTCCAACATCACGTCGTTGCCACGCGCTCGAGGAGGGTCTGGTGATGGGGGGTTAGTTACGCAGTATGTAAGTTGGGGAGGGGGGGGTAAGGTTATTGCGGTAAGGTCTAACAGCACACGCACAAACTTCTCCAAAGGCTGCAAAGGCAGTGGTGGAGGGGCAATGGATATGCGGTAGCATGGTCGTTGCATTTCTCGTTCGGGCCGTACTCACTGTCGGCAGGCTGCCGCTTCTAACCCTCCGCGGTCGCCCGAGCTTCTGTTATATTTACTTTCCTCCAGTATTCTTGGAAAAGAGCACCTCCCAGCAATGGATTACTCCGGGCCAGACCAGCGCGAAGCGGTGCGGGCACTTGCGACAGGCATCCCGCTTTGACCCGCAGCCGCTGCTTGTCGCCTTTTGCAAGGCGTGATGCAGTAGGAAATGGAAGCGTGTTTCTGCGTACTCGAATTTGACCAATGAGGCGGCCAGCTGGCCGATCCAAGAGCATCAGTTGGACGAGAAGTCGTCCATCCATGTCGGCGGAGCAGATAGAAGGCACTACTATGTATCTGTAGATGCAAAGGCTTGGTTGCGGTGTGAAGCTGCAAGTAGGCGAAGCATAAACGGCAGCTAGCTTAGATTGGGATGGAGTATGTCGCGAACTTGCTGTTAGAGAAGGCCAGACAGATCCTGGTGTCAACGGTCCTGCTTCCAGAAGCCCGATCAAATGTGACGCTTCGTACCCGTTTAGCAGCTTACCATACCTGGGTATCAGCTATCGGCAATACGAGATTGGAACAAGAGTCCTCGACAACGTGCCTTGTCTTCTAAATTTTCACATACAAGCTCTTGCAGACTAACAACCAACTCAAACCCCTCCCGACCCCACCGTTGATCTCAGACACATGCTCTGCTGCAACGAGGCGCAACGCCCAGTGTAGGAAAGGTGACGTGAGAGTGTGGGAAAGCACCTCCCTACCTATACCTACCTATCTACCTACCTACCTACCTACCTAGGTACCTTACCTTGCCATAGGAATCCGCGACCCCGGTTACATATCCGCACCTCACACCTCAGTCTTCCCACCGTTGGGGCGTTCCTTGCACGGTGCAATGTGAAGCTGGCTCCTACGTACCTATTTAGTGTACCTATACTCCGTATACCTACCTAGCCTGAGGGACGATCGTGGGTCCTCCTTTCCTGCTTTGGTAATCATCCGTTTGTGCCGCTCAAACCCACGACGAATTGCGACGGAAACCGAGACTGCTGGTTTTCGCCTTTCCCTCTCTTCGCATTTCCTTCTCGGCGTTGCGCCGCGCCATCATCCGGAGTACACGTCTCGACCAAGAACGTGCCGAGCCTGTGGAGGGGATTCGACCACCACGTACCCACAGATCGAGTATCTGACGATTCATCCCGCTACCAACCTCGAGTCGGCGGCGACGACGACCCGAGAACGTGTCGACACTACGACCCCCTCCACACTCACGGCAACCGTCCTCACTACTACCACTACTACCACGCCCCGTGCCTACAGAGAGTTCGTCAGTCATACAAGCACGGCCGAACATGGCCGACGACCGGCGCGACAGCTCGGAGAAACCGTCCTCGGCGCGCGAGAGCCTGAACTCGAACTCGAACCCGAGCCCGACGCCAACACAAAATCAGCCACACAAACAGACACAGGACGCCCGTCCGCCACCAAAGAAGCGCAGGCGCGTCGTGATATCTTGCACGGAATGTCATCGTCGGAAACAGAAAGTGGGTGGCTCCTACTCTCCCTCCCTCAACAACAACTTTCCGCTGACGTCGCCATTGGTAACTGACGTGCTCTCGCGCAGTGCGATCGAGATCTGCCATGCGCCAACTGCAAGTCGCGTAACAAACAAGATGCCTGCAAATACGAGACGGGCGCGCCTACGGCTAAGGAGCATCGTAAGGCCGAGGCTGAAGGCGCAAAGCCGACTTCGACCCAGAGCCTCTCCAATGCCGCCGCGAACTGGGGCTACTCTCACGCAGGTGCTTCCACGCTCGGGCTGATGCGGAAGATTGAAAGCGCAAACGGCGATGGAGCGCTGTCGCATCTCGGCGGCTCGGCGCACATCGAAGACCAGTTCGCCACCAAGGAGCGGTACAAGTCTCTGATCAGACAGCTGCCCGCCAAGGGCTACATTGAGAAGCTCATCGATGTGTACTTCCGCGAGTTCAATCACCAGTACTACGCCCTCGAGGAGGACCTCTTCAAGGAGCAGTTTGCCGAGTGGAACAACATACCCTTTAATGTGCTCTCCAACTCTGGGCCGCAGGGCCTCTCACCCGACCTGAGGGTGTTTCCCGCTTTGCTCTTCCAGGTTCTGGCGACGGCGTTACTGACCCTGCCAGAAGGATCTCACGAATTCTACGAGCATCTCAAGTATGCGGGCAACATGACGTTTGAGGATCTCGCGGCGGACTACAGCGAGTCCGGCGTCGGTATTCTGTCACTGCTGGGCAAACGGCAAATTACTCTCACGACGGTCCAGGCCGACTTTCTCCGGGCGGCGTTCCTCAAGTACATGGCCAAAGTCACGGAGTCGGTAGGCTACCCCTTGCACAACCCAATGGTGCCCGAAACTAACAGTGTCGGCAGTGGCATGCCATTGGCAACGCCATTCGAGATGCCCAAGAGATTGGCATGCACCGGGACAGCCTTGACCCCTCCCCGAATGGTGATGATACCGGGGACATACTCGAAAACATGTGGCTGATCCAGCGACGAAGAAAGTTGTACATGGTTCTCATGACATGGTAAGAGCCTGCCAGGAAGCAAGAGATGGCAAGATATGGCTCGGCTGACAAGAGCCAGGGACATCCACTGTGCGCTCGTGCTAGGACGCCCTGGCAGCATCGACTGGCGCATCTGTCCACCAAGCCTACCGGTAGACACGCCTCCGCCAAAGGACCGCCGCAAGACTCCCGTTGCGCCCCGGGACGACGAGAGAGACCCCCCGACGCCGCTGACGAGGGTTATCTGGGCGTTTAGGCTCGTGGCCCCGATGCGTGAGATTCTCGAGTTGGAACAGGATGGTCCGTGTCCGAAAGACTATTCCAAGGTCTATCGAGTACACCAGATGTGTTTGGACTTGGACGAGGCGACGCCTGCGTACTTTCGCTTGGAGAACCCCGATACGAAGTGGGATAACGATCCATCGTGCTACTGGCTGCAGTCTGTGCGGTTTTATTTACCGCAAATGAACCTTTTCAACTTGATGGCGCTGCACCGGCCTTACATCTTTAACCGACAGAAGAGCCGGACAGAAGCGCTCAAGGCCAGCATCGAGATGCTTCACCGTCAGATGCTCACGTTCCAAGGCCTCGATGCTGGGTCTTGGCGAAAGTAGGTCTTGTCAACGACGCACTTGGGCTAGTCAATGCTGACCGTGTTACCCAGCTTCACGCTGTTCTTTGGCAGTTTCGATGCCGTGGTGCTCATGGCATCGATATACATCCTGTTTCCCAAAGAGAACTTGGAGATGGCCGGCAGCGCCATGCAGCACTTCCACTGGACGACGGAGAGATTTGAGGCGATGCAGGAGAGGAACCCCCTGGCGAAGGCGGCGAAAGGTGTCCTGCAGGCGATTTTTGCCAAGTTCAAGAAAGCGGTAGGAAACCCAGCGCCACCGCCAAGCCTATCGAGCGTGGCATCCCAGACACCAGCATCGACGTCGGACAGCGGCAGCAGTTTGTCTGCTCGCGGATCGGTCTCGACGGCCACTGCAGCGACGGCCGACACGCCAGCGAGCAAAGGCAGCACAGCGGCGACGCCGACATCGCTGCCGACGGTCCCCGACACATCTTCATCATATCCGCTGCCGTCGGCACACTCGGAATGGACCATGCCAAACAGCTGGGACTTCACGTCAATCGCGCCGCTATTTCCCATGGGAGACCTAATCTACCACGATCTCAACGGAATACCAGAGGACGGATCTCTACCGGCGTGGGGAGCAGCAACGCCGCCCCTTCCCGCCGCCGGGACGACGACGTTTGAGGGGGATTTTGGAAACGACAGCGTATGGAATTTGCTAAACCAGTACGACCCGACATCCGTTTGAACACCCCCTATACTATATATGCGAGACTGAGGAAAGAAACATTTGAACCGGGTAGAAACAAAAGCCGATTTAGGACATTTGAGTCGGGCTCGTTCGCTTGACGCTGAGAATGCCATGGAAAGGTAGGGAAAGAAGGACAAGGGAAGGGCAAACAGGAGGGCGGGCTTTCGGAAGCCGCAGGCGGGTGAGATGGGCGTTGCTGCAAAAGCGAGTGGTAAGTCATGGTTGTGGTGATGGCTGAGTACATGAATTCAAGGTCGTGTTATTGGCTGCTGCATCTATTGGCTGTTTGAAGTTGGAGTAGTTCCCACGGATGATTAACCGCTGGAGGAGCACCCTGATCGCGATCCCGGCCAATCATGCATGGGTTGACGGCATGGATTTTAGCGCCAGCGGGCAAAGAGAAAAGGTGCGTCTCACCTGTTCCACGGTGTTACGGCGCACGCTGGGAAGAAGAATGAAAAAAAAAAGGGGGGTGGAGGGCGGTAGACATGCACATTTCATGTTGCGACCTACCTGACGTACAGACATAGCTACTCAGTAAGAAGGTTGAGTGAGGTGCGCATAAGAACCAGGTGTAGACCATACGTTGCAGACGGCCAGACAGCACAGCGCAACCATGGCCAAATATCAATTTCATACCCCTAGACGTGTCCGATTTCCCCAGAGCCCTCAAATGCCGTCCAGCCATGTACGCACCTAGTACAGGTATCTCGCTGTGTGTACGGAGTATGTGTGTTTTATATCCAGCGGCGCGGTCGATCGGAACTCCTGAGACGACTAAACGGTGGATAATTTGTTTTCTAGTTTTTGTCTTGAAGGTATTGGTCTCAGTTGACAGTACTGATGGGAAAGGGTAGGTAGGCACGTAGGTAAGTAAGTAAGGGAAGGGCGGGGGAACCAATCTGCGCCAGCCAACGCGTCGCAGTGTGTGCCAAACATCTTTCTTGTTGGGCGCTTGCTTTTTTTCCAATGTTCACCGCTTTCTGTCCTTTCGGGTTTCTCGGTATCAGGAAAGACGAACCAGAAAGACAGGGCGCCAGACAACGGAAATCATTAAACCATAACCAAGACCAGACCCAGATGCTGTTTGCTGTTGCGTTGGTCCGCTGTGCAGATATTCGGTGGCTATCTACCTACGCTTTGCTCTTGGCTGGCCTGCCACGTATAAACCGGGAAAGACAGGCACTCCTTTTTTTCCCTTTTCTTTTTTCTTCTTCTCTTCTTCATTGGGAGAGAACGCCAAAGTCAAGAAAACTCCAGACCAACGGGCCATTCCCGTCCAGAGCTGCTCTTAATCCTCCTCCCCCAGCATCCACCGTTTTATTGACTCTCCCATCTCGACCTCGGACAGGCAGAGAGAGGTAGACTTATTCCTCCCACCTCACCCCGTCACACCTCGTCCGCACATCGCCACTTATCGCTCTATTCTACCCTGAACTACTCTATCTTGCCCTGTCTCAACTTGTCCCACCAGACTTCCAGCATCACATTGCATCTTCCCACCTCCCTGCTCTACCTTTGCTCACTGACCATCTTGAGCCTCATTCTGGCCCCAGACCCAGCCCTGCCCAGCTACCGACTCCTTACTCATTGCCGATCGAGAGAAAAGAGTGAAACTTGATCAGGTGCTGTCCCATCATCGGCACACAGAGTTGCATTGGTGAAGAGGCCTTCACACTTCGTACCTACCTTGCCTGCGCAATCCCTCAACCTCCCATTTGCGCAAGCCTGATTGATACCTCCTACATTTGCACCTCTGGTCAACTGTCACTTTTCGGCAAGAGAGGGAGAAAGAAAGAAACCATCTAGTCTATTTGGCCAAACACACTATCGACAGCAACATCTGCAGCAGCTGCAGCTGTAGGGCTCACTCTGGTCGTGCACAACTCAAAAGACGGCACACTAAGCACAATCACAGGCACAACAAACAAAGCACAAGACGCAGGCCCGGTACTTTCGCATACCTTCTTTCATCCTCACTCATTACGCCCTGCATCCCTTGTCACTCTTGTTCTACCTCATACACCTGCACCTTGGCGCCAATAGATACTGCAGCCATCCAGTCTCCAATCGATTTCCCATACATACATCGACTCTCTCGATACCACACAAGGAGAAGACGTGCGCGTCCGCCTCGCCTTTCTCCCCCCTCCTCCCCCTCTCTCTACCTATCATTTATTTTACTTGAGCTAGCAAAAAGCTCGACCCAGTCAGCCTTAAAAAAAAAATGCCTACTACAACCCATACAACGACCAGGATCACCTCTGGTTCCAACAGCAGCTACCTGGACAACATTAACGCCAACACAAACGCGGCCCCTGTTCTGCCTCCTTACCTTCGCACCAGCAGTCATTCCCCGTTGAGCTCGTTCCCATTTTCGCCCAGCAACGCCTTCCCCTCCGCCATCGGAACTGGTATACCTAAAGATAGGACAGGAACGACTAAGATGTCCTTGCATGAGACCGAAATCATGGACTTTGTTACTCGATATCAGACGTTGCAGGGCTATCAAAATGCCACCGACCAGCTGATTAAGGTGCGTTCCGTTCTCCCTCCGCTTGTTCGCCTTCTACCATGAGTTGTCTCCTTTAAAAATTGGCCTCCCCCCGGTTTCCCGTCCAAGCCCATCCTGCTGTTGTCGTTGCGCCTGGAGCATCGAAGGGTTGGCATTTGGCATTTGGTGTTGGTGTTGCCGCCTCGCTGAAATGCGCCGCGGCTGCATCTTCTATTCTACCCCGCCAAGTCGTGTCCGTCCCATGTACCTACGCAAAGAACGCGACGAACGCTCCTGTCCCTGTCAACCCAACACGACCCTCTGAACAAGGTTATAACCCTTGTGATCAAAGTCGCATCAGACTAACTCTATTTGTTTTCTACTCTGCAGGACCTTTTGATGTACTGCAAAGAAGTCCAGGGCCACTATGGCGAGGAAAATCTTATACTCAAGCAGGAGCTACACAATGCAAAGCTCGACCTCGAGCACGCCACAGCCTATAGGAGAGAGATGCAGCAGACGCTGCAGGACCTTGATTTTGATAACAAATACATCAAGGTAGACGCCTGCTGCGCAGTAGCTCGTTTTCATGTGTCCGGAGTAACTGAACTTGGCAGAACCGCAATCCGTACGTCTTGATTATGATTGATGGCGACGGCCTCCTCGTATGCGCCATCCCAATTCCCCTCCACACTGGAATCAACATACAGATTGCTGACTCAAGGCTCCCCTCCGCAGTTCCAAGAAAGATTTATTAGACAGGGAATCGAGGGCGGCAAGAAGGCAGCTTACGCTCTCCGGACCGCCGTCGCCGAGTACGTGGGCAGCCAGTCGGGTGAAGTCGAGATTGTCGCCAAAGTTTGCGCCAACCTTTCGGGCCTTGGACGCGCCATGCGCAGAGACGGCTGCTTGGACAGCGAGTCTGAGCTCAAGGACTTCTCTCTGGGATTTACTCAGGCCAAATCCTCGTTTGATTTCATCGACGTTGGCCACGGTAAGGAGCGTGCCGACTCGAAGATCAAAGGTAAGTCGTCTTTGACGATGCCACCGAAGCTCTGTTGTCATGCAACCAGCAGAGTTGTATCAAACGACTCCAGGCGCCACACGAAATGTTCACTGACTTGACCGTGCTTTAGAGGCCACCCGTTGGCATTTGCGAAACTACAACTGCAGGCAGATATTGCTGGGCATTTCCCACGATGCGGGATATGCCCCGTTTCTCGACGAGATCCTTCAAGATGAGCAGATCCGCTCGAAAGTCAGCATCATAGAGGGTGTCCCAACGGTCAGAGAGCTCAAAAACACCAACGTCCATATTCTCGACCCGCTGCCCGGCCTCTTCAGAAACCAGAAGCTCGTAGACCGTAGCGGCGATCGCGCTGCCGAAGCAACCCACGCCAGACCGTTGACCGTGGTGACCAACCACACATCGCCTACAGTGTCAGTCGCCTCGCCGGCGACCTCGTCAGCTGCAACGCCGGCCCCGTCATCCTGGGCCGGCGTCACCGCCAAAGCGAGCCCCCCACCAGTCATCACCACGCCGTTAGCCAATAGAAATATCAACATCCCGACTCGACAGACCTCGCAGCCCAAGCCGGCGGCCTTGCAGTCGAAACCGCAGAGCCCGGCGTGGAGCCCCGGAGAGCGTGGGCTCGATCCTCCTATTCCCATCAACCCGGCGGCTCTCGATAACATTAAGAAGCGCACTGGTAGGGACAAGCTTTGCAACAACCATTACCTCCGCGGGCCTTGTGCCAAGGGCGACGAGTGCTGCTTCGAGCACAAATACAAACCCAACCCCGACGAGGTCAACGCCATTGCCTTGTTGACTCGTCTCAATCCGTGCACCAACGGCCAGGAATGCGACGTAGAGAACTGTATATATGGACATCACGTAGGTTCTGCCCTTTGAGGAGCACGATAGCTCGACGCTGACCAGCTACGCAGTGCCCTAGCGTCACGGGCAACATATGCACGCATCCGTTTTGCAAGTTCCGGGTTTCGGACCATCCCCCTGGCACGAAGTTTAAGAACGCCAAAATTCACGAGAATTGAGAAGAGTTTGAAAGCCTTTTTGCGCATCCGAGTGACAGACAGAGCAGACCCGCAGGACCTGCAGTTGGTTCAGGCTACACGGCAAAATGCACACGAGGAATCAATCAATCCGGAACCGGGTTTTCAGGAAAGGGGGGTTGTGTAAATGTAGGCTACGCACTGCCCATACAAAAATGAACGTGTCATTGTCGGATTAGCCCTGTAGAGATTCAAATTTTGGGGGGCCCGGTCTTACTGAGATTTTCAGCGCATCTCGCCAAACGGTTTGATAGGGTGCTTGTCTCGCTGTCTGTGATGTGATAGATGTCTTCTCGAAACGCTGAGGAGCTATCGCCGTAAGTTTCCCAAGGCCAGGCAAGCTAGGTATGAGCTCAAGCCGACCTGCCTGTGCTGAATGAACCCTGGCGGGGCCCAGTGCGGACCCCACCCCCCAACGGGCCATTCGGCAACCCCCACCACGAAGGCGAACGAACCTTGGTATGCCAACCCCACACACATCTGCCAAAATCCCAGAGCGGACTAGTAGAGCCTCCTCTCAATCGACAACTGTATCCTCACCTCACTTCCACCACCACCACCACCAACATCAACGACGTCGAGCGTGCCCGCAGACGAAGACGATATACACAACGAGCGAGCCCCTAACGCCCGAAACTCGCGGTTCAGTTCATCCCACAGACTCCGTCCGTCGTCGCCCTTGCTCACCCCCATCCGAATCCCTCCCCCATCAAGACATACAAACACACACACACACACACACACACACATATATACACACACACGGCCCGCAATGTCGCACCCCCGCATAGAAGAGGTCGAGGACAGCGACCTGGAGGCCTCGGACCCCTCCGAGGGCGACATTGACGACTTCAGCGACAACGATATCATGCGCCGCGTCGAACCAAAGTCCTCGGCGGCGTCGCAGATCAAACCGGCCAACATCCCACCCGCGGCCGCGCCGCGCCCCGGGGCCCCGGGATCCGAGTTCCAGACGACCAACGACGCGAAGCAGTACGCCGACTTCCAGTGCCTATACCCGGTGTACTTTGACGCGCGCCGCACCCGCGCCGAGGGCCGCCGCGTGCCCAAGTCGCTCGCCGTCGAGAACCCCATCGCCCGCGAGATCGTCAAGGCCTGCGCGGCCCTCCGGCTGCCGACCCTCTTCGAGCCCGCAAAGTTCCACCCCAAGGACTGGGCGAACCCGGGCCGCGTCAAGATCCGCATCCGCTTCGGCGGCGAGTCCGGCCGCGGCCGCGATGGCGCCCAGTAGGACATATGACGCTTAGCAGTGTCTATTGGACCAGCATAGTGACCTCTAGCAAACACATTTTAAATCAGGGCAGGCCAAGGGGGGTGTAGTTCTTCGACAGTGGCATTAACGGTCAGTAGCTCTGAACCGCTCTGTACGACTTTGAAATATCTAACCAGGGACATTTTCCAGATGGTGGGGCTCGTGTACCGCGGAGCATGACGTTAGCTATAAAG